AAAAAAAAAAAAAAAAGACCACTTGGAAAGTCTTTCAAAGAACAATGGACATGTTGTTTCCAAACAACAGCTAATGATAGCGAGAGAAGTAACGCTTCCTTTAGTGTCTGCTCTGTGCCAGGGCCTGGGAAGTCGCCTCCCCGGGCCTCAGTTTCCCCACCTGCAGGACAGGACTAGTGCACCTAACACAGCTCAGGCAGGCGAGTCAGTAATGACAACCTGGCCAGCCTGGCAGGTGGAAAGGGCTCAGTGGTTGCTTCCCTCCTTTTTGTCTTGCTTAAAACGCTGTCTTGGCTCGCAAAGAGTGTGGAGACCCTACAGGGATAGGGCCTGCCTTCCTGCAGCCTTGTCTCCGAGGGGACATGTCTCCAGGGCTGGGTTTCTTGGGGAATGTGTGCCCCACGGCCCCCAGACACCTGCCCTCTCCCCACACCCGAGCTTCTTGCTGAGTCCTCTGCCCTGGAGCCCTTCCCCTTAGGCACAGCCCTCCCTTCCATGTCACTGCCTCCTCCAGGAAGCCCTCCCTCCCGCCCCAGGGAGGCCCTGTTCCCCCTCTGTTCCAGCCCTGACCGCTTGAGGCTGGGAGCAGCTACATCAAGCTCCAGGCAAATTCCAGAAGGGTCTTCCCCTGTCCCACAGGGGGCTGCTGGGCAGAGGTGGATGTTCGGGACTGCGCCCTGCCTGAGGGGGCCCGCGTGTGGGGCGGGAGTGACGTCAGCCCCTCACAGCCTAGTAAATGTTTATGGGCAAGGGGGCCCGAGTTTGGGGCTCCCTGGAGCCCAGCGAGCAGCCACCCCCTCCTGTCCCACTCTGGGGGGCCTGGGCTGCAGGCGGGGGGCCTGGCAGGCTCCAACACTGGCGGCCGGCCCAGATGGGCTGGGTGGGCGGCGAGCACAGCCCCTAGTCTGAGCCACGGGCTCTCCTGAACGTAGCTGGTAAACTGAGGCTGGAAGGCAGGAGGGGGCTTGCTGGCTTTGAATTTCCCTCCTCCCCTCCCTGGCCTTGGTGTGCCCATCTGTGAAAGGAGCTGTGAGAGCTGGCCTGGGGGTTGGGCTTGCAGGAGGCAGAGGCCTGGGCAGACCTGGTTCTAGAAGCCGCAGTGGTACAGGGCCAAGGGCAACTGCTGTGGGGCCCTGGACAGGTCCCTTCCCTTCCAGCCCTCAGGCTGTCCCAGGCTGGGGATACGGGCTGTGCTGCCCTCTTTTGGAAACTTTCACCTCCTGGCTGTCTCGCACGGGATGGAGCGGAAGGAAAGGAGGTGAGAAGACAGACAGTGGCCTGCAGTGGCAGGAGGGACAGAATCGGACTCCTCCGTGGCCCCCACAAAACCGCCCACGCCCGGCTGAGCCAGATGGGCGGTGCCCCCTGCCGGCCACGGAGGGGACACAGCCGGTGGGTGCAGGAGCCAGCGGGCTCCAGAGCAGACAGGGCACCTGCGGGGGGTAGAATCCTCCTCCTTCACGGAATGTCTGGGGGCTTGTGGGGGATGTTACTCCCATGCCAGGTGGGAAAGCGGAGGCTCTGATGCTGGTGTCGCCCGAGGACACGGCGCAGGGAAGAGACCAAGTGCTGGGTGCGAACCCGGAGCCTTCCCTTCATCCAAAGCTGTGTCAGGGCTTGGGTGGGCTTCCAGCCCCACCCCCAGCCTGAGACAGGGGTCCCTGTCCCTCCTCAGGGAGCCTCAAGCCCAGGCTCAGGCAGGCAGCCCTGGACGTGACCCCGAGCCGGTGCCTGGGCCCACTTTGTGGTGGGTGGGTGGGGGCAAGGGCTGAGGAAGGACCTGGACTCGCTGCACAGGAGCGAGAAAAACAAAGGGGGGCCCGCCGGCAGCGCGGCCTCGCTCCAGGCTCTGTTCACGGTCACGTCTAGCCGCTCAACAACTGGCTGGGTGTCACTCTGGGTGGACGAGAGGCAAAGTGAGGCTGAAAGCGGGGTCTGGTGCTTGACCACGTCTAGGTGCCAGGGGCGGGCTCGAGAGGAGGGAGGGAAGGGCAGGACAGACACAGGTGAGGGGACAGGAGGGCTGCAGCTGTGCTCCCTTGGGTGGGGCCCGTGCTGCCCTGATTTCCGGCCTGTCGCCCTGGCATGTGGGCACGCGCCAGGCTCTCGCTGCCAGGATGCACAGAGCCAGTTCTGGAAAGAGCCCCGGGCAGCGCTGGCATTCCGGGGCTGCCTAAACCGCGGGCCTGACGGGCGCCAGGCACGGATCACAGCGGGTCCTGTCCCGCTCCGCCCTGGGACCACGCCGGATGGGGACGAGGCTCCTGGGCCGGCGTGTCCAGGGCTCTCCGCTCCAATGCCCAGGAACCTGGAGATGCCGCCGGGGCGTGTTTTCCACATGCTGTTGGCTTTGGGGGCAGGCCCAGAGAGGGGACGGTAGTGACCTGCAGAGGGACCGTGGCCGGAGCTGAGGGAGGGGCTGTGGGTGGTGGGGCGCAGTTTCCATCACTGGCGGCCACTTGCAGGCCCCTCCCTGCCCCGGGAACTGGCGCAGCGCTGTGACCAGGGTGCATCCCGCCTAAGCGCCCCTCCTGGGCTGTCTCTGGCCCCAGCCGGCCACACTCCCGGCTCGGCAGGGCCAGGCTGGTGCCCTTGGCCAGGCGGCAGGCAGGCGCGTGTGGGACCTTATCTTATCTCCCTTCCTCATTCCCTCCCTGATCCACCCTGAGCCCCCCACACCTCCCTAGCCGGCTGGCGTGTCCCTGCCTCCAAGTCCTCCGGGACACTCACACACGTATACACGCAGTTTATTTCTAGATACATCTGGACCCGCCGAGGCCCTGGCAGACGGCGGGCTCACACCTTGGGTTTCGCAAACAGCTCCCAGCCCTCCAGTTGGCCCATCTTGACCAGGGCGGCCACTGTGCCCATGTACACGCAGGCGGTGGCGCCGATCCCGTAGTTGTGAGCTGCGAGAGTGGGGACAGGATGTCAGGTGGGGAGGGGGGCTCCACACCCCGGCTGGCGGCCACCCTGGGAGCTGCACTGAGAACCCCAAGAGGACGTCCCCTTTACTTCAGGGAGTAAGTTACTCAATCCTCCAACAAATGCAGGACGGGCACTAGACTCTGGAAATGGGGAAACCGAGGCACAGAGGCCTGAGCCCTGGTCCCTGTGCAGCAGGAGGCCAGGCTGTGGGCTCCTCTCTCTGGCCACACACTGACCACCCCTGAGGTGAGAGGGACTCCGTACTGTCCTTGGCTCTGGGCTCGGGAAAGGTGGGTGCCAGGGCCCGGCCACACACCTGCCCGTGCTCTGTGAAGCAGCGACACAGAGCTGCCCCCACTTGCTCGGCTTTCCTGCCCTGGAGCCCTGGGGCCGAAGGAGGAAGGAGGCATGTCCCATCCACCAGGACACGCAGGGTCTCACACCCATTGCAGACAGGGCCGGGGCCCTTCCCAGCCAGAGCCAGGCTGCGTGTCAAGCCCAGACCTCAAACTGCCTCCAACCTGCAGCCAGTTCTGGGTGGGAGCCGGGCACGGCCGGGGCATCCCAAGGTCTTGATGCAGAGGCAGAGGGATGGGGCCTCCGCCCGGGCGCCCGCCCTCTCTGCCTGGCTGCAATCTGCGATGGAGTACTCGCGACACGCCAGGCCAGTGTGGGCGATAGGCGGGACTCCTCCTGCTGGCCCCCAGGCTCCGAGGGCACGAGTCTCAGTGGACCAGGGATGCAGGCAGCAGTGAGCAGGGAGCCTGCGCCCACGGGGAACTGCCCCCTGAGCCAGATGGGCTCCCCTGTGCCAAAGTGGCCCCAGCTCCCTCCAGGACTGCCCCCTCTGCTGGCTGCAGAGAAAGCCACTTGCTCCTGGGTGGGCCACCCAAGTCCCTCCCTGAGCCTCAGTTCCCGATCTGTAAAGTGGGGGTTGTGAGAGCAGCTCCCCTGAAAGGCCCTGCGTGCCGCCAGACAGACAGGGGTGCAACGACCAGCACCTCCTCTCTGTACCCCCAGGCAAGACCTGGGCGGAGACCTGACAAGGCATGACAGAGAGAAGTGGAGAGGGCAGTGGTGGGGAGGGGGACTGGATCATACAGAGTGCTTGGGACAGCGAGGCCATACTGACATCTGGGGGAAGAGAGCTCCAGGCAGAGGGAACAGCACGTGCAAAGGCCCTCAGGCAGGACGGTGCCTGGTGTGTTGGAGGCACAGTGAGGAGGCCCGTGTGGCTGGAGCAGAGTGACCAGGAGGGAGGGAGGGAGGAGCGGAGGGTGGGAAGGGGACGGGGCAGGTCGTGCAGGGCCTGGTGGGCTATGCTGAGTGCCAAAGGGAGCCCTGGTGCTAACGAGGGCAGCGTCCCATGCGCCCGGGCCCTGCTTGGCTCCTTGCTGGGATGGAACAGAGAGGGCGGAGGGCCAGTGGGAGGAGGCGGGGCTGGGGCGCCCACTCACTGCGCGCTCCCAGGGTCAGGCCTCCGGCACAGCCTCCGATGAAGTAGTTCAGGGGGTCGTCGGGCTTCTCGCGGACCTGGGCGCTGACGCAGGAGGTGAGGCCAAACATGGCTCCGATCATGGCTGTGGGGCAGAGGCGGAGTCAGGGGTCACTGCCAGAAGCCTCCAGTCTGGATAGAGATGGATGCCCCGCCCGAGCATCCTGCCCTCCGGGCCCTGCAGCTGGTCTCCTGGGACCACTCCCAGCCTGGCACGTGTCCCTGAAAAAGGAACATCTGACTCTCCCTGGTGGCTTAGACTGTGGACACTGGCCGGGAGCCATGGAACGTGCCCTGAGGGCCGGGATGGTGCCAGCAGAGCCCCCAGCTGGCCTGCCCCGCCGGCTCACCTGCAGTGAACGTGTACCGCCCGGCCTTGGCCACTCCCTCGAGGATGGTGTCCGTGGGCCAGAGCGAGAGGCTGTAGGCAGAGACCGCCAGGCCTGCGAGACAGAGGGGACAGAGGCTGCTCAGACCCTGAGCCGGCTGAGCCCTCGCGGGGCGCTCTCTCCCTGGTCGTCACACCCCCTTCGCCCAGAGCCCCCAGCTGCTGGGTGGCAGAGCTGGATGTCAAACGGGAGGGGGGGGCTCCTCCAAAGCCAGGGAAGCTCCTGACGTCCCCCCTCATCCCCAGCAGTCCCTGCCTTGCTTGGAGACACAGTTTCAGCTTGCCCGGTGCCCGCGCCTGCAGATCGCCTGCCAGGTCCCTGTCACCCGCGCTGGCCCTCAGGTGAAGGACTGTCCGTGACCTGGTGGTGCCACCCACAGGCCCTGGCACCCGGGGCCCAGCTCCCATCAAAGACTCCATTCTCCTGAGGGGCCCAGGGCCCCGTAGCCTAATCCCCCTTGGCAGAGGCGCTGCTTCCCTCCCTGGCTGTGCCCCAGGCTGGTGACGCCTCCTCCTGCCACTCCTGAGCCCCCTCTGTGCGGGCAGCTCAGCCCGGGCCCGTCCCGCACACCTGGCTGCTTGGCTGCCGCCCACACCCACTTGGCCACTCTGCCCAGCAGCCCTGCCCCTGACACTGGCTTCGTAGCATGAGGGACGTGGGCAGGGGCGGGGCCTGGGACCCAGTGCCAGATGGATGGTGAGGACGGAAATCCATCCTGGTCCACCGGGCCTGCTGTGCGCCGGGAGAGGCCGGGCAGGTCCTTGAGTGGCCTCCCCACTGCTTCCCCTGGCCCCCTGGCTTCACCAGCCCCCCAATAATGGATGGGCGGCCTAATGCTGGCCCAAGCTGGGGCTCCCTGCATCCTCCGGCTGACACGGTTCAGGGCAGACAAGCACCGTCCCTCTCCCTACAGACCCCAACTCGGCCCGGCTGTTGGCAGCGAGCTCCTGACGCCAGCCCATCCCAGACAGAACAGACTGCCATGGATAGGTGACAAGGGTAGCCCTTGTCCCTCCTCCTCCTTAGGGCCCCAGGAGACCTCAGAGAGGTCACCCAGCACAGCTAGCCTGGAAGCCAGGCGGGTCTGGCCAAAGCCCATGCTCTGCCCTAGTCCCCGAGCTTCACAAGATGTCCGGGACCTCCTGGGCGTGGCAGTGCCTCCCTCCCACCCCCGGCCCCAGCTCTGATCCAGCTCACACTGGCTCTGCCCAACAAGAGCTGCTGGCGGGACTTTTTACATCTGGCCGTGGGTTAATCTTCAGAGCAACACTGCGGAGTGCCAAGACTGCTCCCTCCCTGCACACTTGGGGAAACCAAGGCCCAGGGGTGTCAGGAAGAAAGTCGCTTTGCAGGTCTTTGTGGCAGCCCCATCCCTGCTCCAGTCCCCAGACCTGGCACTTGGCTCCATCCACCTTTCTGAGCGGGGATCCTAGGTCCCGGTGTGGGGTCAGACTCAGTGATAGCTCTGAATCCCGTCATGGAATGACCACTGGGGAAAAACTTATCGATCCCACCCCCATACACCAGCGATCCTGGCCGAGAATCCCCCAGCTCATGGACCACCCTGATACAGCAGTGACCCCACCCCCACGTCCCCTCCAAACCTTGAACTGGGAGCGGACGACTTGGGACCCTCTTATTACCCCATAGTGGCCAAGGACTCCCCCTCCCTGACTCTCCCCCCAGCAGCCATCCAAGACGGTAACCCCCCCACAACCCATCCCTTCAGGAGCCCCCCAACATCCTCCAAGAGGCCCCCCCGCTCCCCTACTGCCAGCTCCCTCTGAGCCTCCCACAGTGACCCTCCAGACACCATGTGCGTGCATTCATTCATTCATTCATTCAGTTACTGCCATTCACTCGTTCAGTTACTATGTACCCACAAAGTGCCTCACTGGTTCACTCATTCATTCATTCACAAAGTTACTGTTTGCCCACAAGGCGCCTCATTCATTCATTCACTCAGTTACCGTGTGCCCACAAGATGCCTCCTCCATTCATTCATTCATTCATTCACTCATTCATTCCCAGTTATTGCATGCCCGCAAGGTGGTGGGCTCTGCTGAGCACAGTCTTCCTGCTGTCCAGGGTCCCCACCTCAAGGAAGCCACACAAGAAGCCAGTTATCTCCCTCAGATGAGGAGGAGGAGAGGCCCGAATGAAGGGCGGTGGGGTGGCAAGCGGAGGACCCAGAAGCACGTTCAGGCCAAGTCCTGTTCGCTGAGTGGAGTCGACCAGTGGGAAATTCGTGGACTGTGAGCAACACAGGCACAAAGTGTCGCCCTGGAAGACCCCTGGGGCACACTGCAGAGCTCACAGAAGCCCCTGACCACCCCCAAATCTGGAGCCCTCTGAGACTCCCCAACATGGCACCTCTGTCAAAGGTTCCCACCCCAGCCCCTCCAAGAGCCTCCAGCCAGCTCCCCGGGGACCCCATCCTGAGACAAGCTCAGTCTTGGTGGCCTCCGGAGACCTCAGCCCGTGCCTGTGCTGTGTTCATGCATGAGTACACGCACACGGTCTCCCTCACAAACGCCAACAGTCACGGCTTTCTCAGTTTCAAAAGCCCCTAAACCAGCGGTCCCCAAGCTTTTTGGCACTATGGACCTGTTTCATGGAAGACAGTTGGCCCTGGGATTGGGGACCACAGCCCTAGACCATCCACCGTTCAAAACTGCCCTGGAGGCCCTGCGTGCACCTCAGGTGATTTCCTCTTGCTTTAACTGCCCCTGAAATAGGACCATGACCCCCTAAAAAGTTCTGCCAGCTATTCCCTAATGTCAATGTCTCCCTTTAAGAATCAGCCAGAATAACTTCCCCCTAGAGAAATGCCCCTCAACCCTGCGCAGCCCCCCGAGGCTCTAAAAGTGCTCCCCACAGACCTGTTGGACCCCAACACACACCTGAGACCTTCCCAACAACTCCCCATTCAAGCCGACTCCACATACACCCATTCCCTGGGACCCCCCCTTCAGCCCTTTCTCCTGGATACATTCCGTAAGGGACCCTGTGGGAACATTCTTTGCCCCAGAGACCTCTAGGGGCAGGTCAGCAGACTTGGATTTGCAGCCCAGCTTCAAATGACTCTGGGGCAGTGAATATACTTCTCCCGCCTTAAGTTCCCACCTCTGAGAAATGGAGATTTAAGAGTGGTCTGTGTACCCCAATCCAAATGCCTCCCAACGGAGACTCAACTTTTGCCAGACCCTGTTTCGGAAGCTGGGGAGATGGAAGCGACCCAAACCATCACATCTACTTCTCAGGGAGACTGAGAATTAAAGGAGACCATGTCTGTGAAATGCTCAGGCTGGAAAGGGCAAGAGTCTGGGGTCTCCCTTACAGGGGGATGCCAGGGTTGTGGGTCCCCTCATGACCCTACAAGGCCACCCTTATAGCACCCCTCTCGTGGCCCCAATAAAAGTGTCAGATGTCCCTGACCACTCGCACTTTGATCCTAGAAAGACCTCAATCTACCCCAAAACTTTCTCAGGCTTCTGTACCCCCTCAGGCGTCCCAATAATGACCAATGACCCCCTCAATCTCAAAGTTACCCCGTTGGCAAGTCTCATGACGTCTAGCTCCTTCAACTCCGCTAATGGCCCTGTCAGCTCCACAGCTTCCCCTGTCACCAGGGCTACAGTGCAGTGGCACGATCATAGCTCACTGCAGCCTCCAACTCCTGGGCTCAAGAGATCCTCCTGCCTCAGCCTCCCCAGCAGCTGAGACTACAGATGGGCGCCACCACGTCTGCCCAATTTTTTTATCTTTTGCAGAGATGGGGGGGTCTCACTATGTTGCCCAGGCTGGTCTCGAACTCCTGGCCTCAAGGAATCCTTCCCCCTCGGCCTCCCAAAGTGCCGGCTTCACCAATAATCCCTTCACGCCTCCATCCCAGATCCCAGCACCCAGGGGCCGCTCCTGACGAACCCAGTGACCAGCTCGTCACATGCAACCCGACCTCCCTGTGCCCCCCAACCCGCTGGACTCCCCCACAACACGTCTCACACAGGAGCCCCCCATGGCTGCCCGACACCCCGATGATGACCACGTGTCACCCCGCGAGATTCCCAGCCCCCCATGACCCACTCAGACAGCCCCCAGCGATCCTATGACCTCCCTGAGCCCTCCGCCCTCCACCCTCGGGGCCCGGCCGGCGCTCACCGGTGGCGCCGCCGATACTGGCGCTGGCGTAGACTTTGCGGTGGCAGTCGGTGCCGTCGGGGATGTCCCAGTACTGACGAAGGAGCCTCTGCGCCATGGTAGCTCACCGCTAGCCCGGGAACCGCACAGCGGACCCCACCAGCTCCACGCGCCCAAGGGCAGCTGCCGCTGGCTCTCGCGAGGCTTCCGGGGCGGCGCGCGCAGCCTCCCGGGCTGACGGGCCGGCAACAAGCGCGCAACTTTATTGAGCGCCGCGGATACGGACACGTGTTGTGCGCACGCGCCGGGGCGCGTTTGCCATAAGACAGCAGCACGTGTGCCACACCCCCAGGCCGACTCCCCGAGGGGGAATCTGAGGCGGACCGCGATTAGTGAAGACAGGTTTCGCTAGTCCCAGCTCAGGGGGTCCTAGGTTAGGGATGGTTTGACTACCGCAGGTGGGGCCTTATCGAGCAGCCAGACTGTGACAGGTGCTAGACCCACATGCAGGCCCAGGCTAGGGCGCGAAACAGGAGCCCCACTTGATAGGAGCGAGACGTTATTATGGGGCGGGGCATGGCGGGGACGGGGCCACTCCCAGCGCCATAATCTGTATGGGGCGTGGTCATGCCCTGTAGCTAGTCTTCAAACCAGAGTCTGAACCGCGTGTGACTATTTTGGGGCGTGGCCAGGTCCGGGGGCGGGGCTTATCAGGAACGTGACCAATCCCAGTGGTAGGATCTCAGCGGGACATGGCCTACGTCCAATCTGCGGCTTGTCCAAGCCCTGGGACGGCTGAAGTACGCATGCTCTTGGCTTGGGGGCATGGCCAGTACCGGAGGCATAACCTGAAAGAGATTTGACCAATCCGGAGCTGTACGAGTGTCTAAGGAGCGTGGCCGTGCCCGAGGCTGCCTGTGACAGGCAGCCGGTTCGGGGGCGTGGTCAGGCTTGTTGTTCTGTGGGATCCGGACCAATCATGGTGTTTGGTTTAAGGAGGGCGGGGCCTGTCTCGAAGGTGTGACCAATCTTATTTCCAGAGCCTGAGCTGGGCGAGCCACTGGAAGACATGGGGGCGTGGTCTGTCAAGACTTTGGCCAATCTTGGAGTCAGACCGGGCTCAGGGGCGGAGTTTCAAGATGTCGGAACCAGCGAGGGTGTTCGGGTTGGAGGAGAGCACGAGTCGGCCCTGGGGGCGGAGTCCAGCCGGCGAGGTCCTGAGGGGCGGGGCCCAGCCGGGGGCGGGGCCTGTGTTGGTTCCGGGTGGCCCGGGGGCGTGGCCGGGCCTGGACCACGTCTGGGGCCATGTCGGCGCCTCCCGCCCTGCAAATCCGGGAGGCGAACGCACATCTGGCGGCCGTGCACCGGCGCGCGGCGGAGCTGGAGGCGCGGCTGGACGTGGCGGAGCGCACGGTGCACGCACAGGCCGAGCGCCTGGCCCGCCATGACCAGCTGCTGCGCGCCGCGCTGGACGAGCTGGGCCGCGCCAAGGACCGGTGAGGCCCGGGGCCGGCCAGGCGGACTTCTCCGAGGAGGTGGGCGGAGGCAGAGCCGAGATTGGAAAGCGAGCAAGGGCAGGGGGAACCGTGTGCATCCATGCGGAAGTTGGTCTGCTGGTGGGATTGAAAAAAAAAATAGCAGAAAACTCTGATTAGTCATCAGTATGTAAAGTTGAGAGATGTGACACAAGTGTGGATCTCTAACTTCAAACGGCCCACTGTCCCACAGGCAGAATCAGCTGGTACTGAGTGGTGCAGGGACCACTACCTGTCGTATGCATTGGGAGCCACAGCAGGGGAGGATGGGATCATATCACCATTTTTGAAGAGTCCCTCTGGCAGCTGAGGATTGAAAGGGATGAGACAAGTACCCAGAGAGGAGGGAGGAGCTGGGCCCAGGCGGGAAATCATTAATTCAGAGCTAATAGGATGCATCCATTCATCTTTACGGAGCATCTACTTTGTGCCAGACACTGCCGGTATCGCAGCACATTGGTAAGACCTACACAGCCCTACCCACAGGGAGTTCACAGTCCAGTGGGAGACACACATCATGGGGTGGTTACAACATGGGTAGTGAAGGGCTTTGAGGGAGGGGCACACAGGGACCTGAGGGGTCCCAAAGGGAAGGCTTGCTGGAGGAGGAATAACAAATGGGAAAAGACGTTGGGGTAAAGGGAACCACAGGAAGAATGAGGGGGAGTGATGAGGGCTGTCTTGGCTCTGGCTGCTATAACAAAATACTATAAAATGGGTGGCTTAAACAATAGAGATTTATTTCCTACAGTTGTGGAGGCTGAAATCTGGGAGCAGGGTACCAGCATGGTCAGGTTATGCTGAGGGGCTCTCTTCATGGCTTGGGGGCTGCCACCTTCTCACTGTGTCCTCACACGGCAGAGCCAGCAAGTTCTTTGGTATCTCTTCTTATAAGGGCACTAATCCCATTGTGGCAGCCCCACCCTGATGACCTCATCTAACCTTAAGTACCTCCCAAAGGCCTCATCTCCAAATACCTTCCCACTGGGGGTTAGGGCTTCAACATGAATTTAGGGGAGATACAAACATTGAATCCAATAATGAGGGAAGATCCCGAGGCAGTGGCAAGGAGTATGGACTTTATCCCAGAGGTCACGGGGAGCCTCAGGAGAGTCAGGAGCTGGGAGGATCAGACCCCCTGATCCCCAGGACTGTAACAACCCCGTCTTGCCTTCTTGCCAGCGAGATTACCACTCTCCGGGAGCAGCTGCTGACCTCCGAGGCTACTGTCCACACCCTGCAGGCCGCTGTGCACCAGAGGGATGAACTCATCAGGCAGTTGCAGCCCCGGGCCGAGCTGCTGCAGGACATCTGTCACTGCCGGCTGCCCCTGGCCAGGCTGCTGGCTGCCCTGGCTGAGGCTGAGCGCCTGGGACCCCTGCCGTCCAATGACCCCAGCCACCCACTCCCCGGTGGGCCTGGTCCACCCCTTGCCAACAGCACTGGGGAGGAGGGGGACAGGGACCAGCTCCAGCCTGCAGTGTTTGGGACCACAGTGTGAGCCCAGAGCACAGATTCCAGAATGGAGACAGAAGGCCACTGCTGTGGGTGTCTTCAGGGGTCACCAGTGTTCTGGAGAGGACGCTGTGGCAGAGGCATAATCCTGTCTAAGCATCAAAACAAACTGAAAAGTCAAAGTTTTCAAACAGGCCCACAGGCCAAATGCAGATGTTTAACCCAGACAGAATTTTTTTTTTTTTTTTTTAAGTTCCAATCAATCATCCTTGTTGAAAAGCTGGCAATGCTTGTACAAAAATCTGGCTTTCTGGCAAGATGGGGCATGCTTGCTTGAATCTGAGTCTAGGGTACTCCTTGAGCCGGGGTGAGTTTCAACTGGTCCCTGGCTTCTCTTAGGTTATCTCTCTGGCCCCTGAAGCATCCGAGTTTGAGACACCACCCCCACCCCGCCCTGGCTCTGGTGGAGGCAGATGGTATCCACAATTTTTCAGTTGTTCTTGCCTTTTTCGTATTTCCCCTGAAGCAGCCCCGTCTCAGGGATGAAGCTTTTCCTTACGTCTGTATCCCCAGACTAGACTGGGGAGCCTCCAACCTCGTGCCATTTTACATTGGTTAGATAAAGACAGATTTTTAATCCTAGATCTCTTTCCCCTAACTCTGCCTTTCCCTCAGCCTTTAATCCAGAAGGAAGAGCAGGCAGGTGAGACAACCAGCCTGCCCAGGAGAACGCATGCACCCCTGATGGCGTTTCCTGATGGGTCCGTCCTGCCTCAGGGCCTTTGCACTGGCTGTTCCCTCTGCCTATTACAGAATGCTCTTCCCCCACATCCTCACGACTGTTCCTTGTCACCCAGGTTTTTGCTCAGATGTCATCTTCTCAGAGAGGCCCTCCTCCCTCCCCACCCCTGCCATCCACCCCATTTTATTTTCTTTACGGAACCTCTTACCATCTTACCGTCAGAGTGTAAGCTCTGTGAGGGCAGGGATTTTTGTCGGTCTTGTTCCCTGTTTGTCACCAGTGCCTGACACACTCGAGGAGCCCCTGCAGGAATAGGATGGGTCTGTGGGCCCTGAAGGGAACCAGGGGCCCCCAGCACATCTGACGAGGCTCCCCGCCCCCGGGCCTAGCTTTTGTAGCAAGCAGGTATCTCATTTTTATACAATCTAGAGAATCTATTTTTTTTTTTTTTTTAGAAAAGGTTTCACTTTGTTGGTGTTGCCCGGGCTAGAGTACCATGGCGTCAGCCTAGCTTACAGCAACCTCAAACTCCTGGGCTCAGGCAATCCTACTGCCTCGGCCTCCCGAGTAGCTGGGACTACAGGCATGCACCACCATGCCCAGCCAATTTTTTCTATATATATATTTTTAGTTGTCCAGATCATTTCTTCTATTTTTTAGTAGAGATAGGGTCTCGCTCTTGGTCAGGCTGGTCTCGAACTCCTGACCTTGAGCGATCCACCCGCCTTGGCCTCCCAGAGTGCTGGGATTACAGGTGTGAGCCACCACCGTGCCTGGCCGAGGATCTATTTTTTAACTCCTTTTTTCTACACTGTCGTTGGCCCTGGACATCAGGGAGCTTTGCTTGTTGTCAAACCAGGGAAAGAACCCTTGTGCCTTCCATGCCCCGCCTGGTGGGCAGTTGTTCCCCAGCCTCCTCACTCAGGGAATTGTCACGCCAGGAACTGGAACCGCCGAGGGGCAGAGCCCGTTGCAGCCCAGAAAGGTCAGTGGCCATCCCGGCCTTCAGGGTGGCGCTGCCTGCATGCCTGGCATCCAACAGTGACCCCTCAGTGCAGAAACAATGGCCCCATTTTCTCCTCTGGATGAGTAAGGGGGCACTGTTTGTACAAAGGGGTGGCAGGTTGGGGCCTGTCTGTGCCTGAAAATAAACCAGATGATTTCTTGGTCGTCTTCGTCCTTTCTTCCTGGCAGGGGGCTGGAGGGGTGGCTCTCTGTGTTGTTGGTGGTCCAGGCTGGGGCCCTGCTGGGCCTCAAAACACAAGGTATGGTCTAGGCTGTGGTCCCTAACCCCCAGGCTTCGGACCAGTACTGGTCCGTGGCCTGTTAGGAACCGGGCCGCACAGCAGGAGATGAACAGCGGTGGTGGAGGGAGCGAAGCTTCATCTGTATGCACTGCTGCTCCCCATCGCTCGCATCACTGCCTCAGCTCCGCCTCCTGTCACATCAGCAGTGGCATTAGATTGGTGGGGCATGGTGGCTCACGCCTGTAATCCTAGGACTCTGGGAGGCCGAGGTGGGAGGATCGCTTGAGCTCAGGAGTTTGAGACCAGCCTGAGCAAGAGCAATACCCTGTCTCTACTAAAAAGAGAAAAATTAGCTAAGTGTGGTGGTGCATGCCTATAGTCCCAGCTACTTAGGAGGCTGAGGCAGGAGGATTGCTTGAGCCCAGGAGTTTGAGGTTGCTGTGAGCTAGGCTGAGGCCACGGCACTCTAGCCCAGGTGACAGAGCAAGACTTTGTCTCAAAAAAAAAAAAAAAAAAAAAGATTCTCATAGGAGCGCGAACCCTACTGTAAACTGCGCTTGCGAGGGATCCAGGTTGCACACTCCTTATGAGAATCTAACGCCTAATGATCCGAGGTGGAGCTGAGGCGGTGATGCTAGCGCTGGGGAGCAGCTGCAAATACAGATATGGTTAGCAGAGAGGTTTGACTGCACAATAAATGTCATGTGCTTGAATCATCCCCAAACCATGCCCCCACCCCCCGCTGGTCTGTGGAAAAACCGTCTTCCATAAAACTGGACTCTGGTGTCACAAAGTTTGGAGACCGCTGGTCTGGGGAGCTCGTGCCAGACACTCTAAACACGCGATTGTGTCTTATCTTTGCAGCCTCCTCTGGACAAGGGCATTGGCCCACTTTACAGTTGTGCAAAGTGAGGCCCGGAGAAGTGAAGGGAAATGGCCCTCCAGGTCCGGAGGGCCTGGGCCACTTTCAACTTTGGGGGAGGTTCTTGTTGAAATTCTTAACTCTTTTAAAAGTGACGAGATGCCAAAACAGAGCTACAATAATGGGGTTATATTTTACATTTTTTCGATAGGAAAAAAAATGGATGCTTGTAACACTCATAAAAAAACACAATGAAGTATTTCTCTGCCTACTTGAATAATTCTGGACGGCAGTGAGCCATCAGAATTTTGGCAGTAAAACGTCACTGTGGTTTCTCATAAAACTGCCTGTGTTCCACCAGTCCTGGTCGGAGTCACGGCACTGGGCGGCTTGTAATCTACGGATTGTTTTCTGAACTACAAAGGCGACGTCCAACAACACGACTGTACTATGTCACGCCTGGCTTTGAAAAGCCGCTGGTGATCCCCAGGGGGGTCCCATGCAGGTGGCAGGTTCCCAAACAGGGCCCAGTTTTAAGTCCTGGGAAACCCGACCATCTCAGCTGGACGTTAAGTCCAAAGCCTCTATCAAAGGCCTTCTGTGAGGTGGCCTTTGTCCCTCACGATTTATGTCAGGGAGTCAGGGCGGCTCCTCTGCTTGGTGCCACAGCCTCTGGCTCACCCAACTGGTCACGAACGAGCCCCCCAAGCAATGCTTGAAGACCCACGACGACAAAAATACTGTGACTGGCTCCTAAAGCCTGCCAGGAACAGCCCTGTCGCTGTTAGCGCCAAAATTCCAGACTTGCCGTGCCTGGACTCAGTTCTCCAAGGTTCTGAGGACTTCCCACTGGACGTGGGCCTGGGCAGGCGGTCTTGGGGCCCCAGGACCTGGGCCACCTCGAGTCCTTTTCAATTCTGATCGCTCAGCAATTCTGTGGGCCCTGGCTTTGGCCGAGCTGACCCATGAAGCCCACAGAGGGGACAGGACCTGCCCTGGGTCACAGAGGAATCAGGCTCAGAGCCTCCCCCGAGGCCTTGTCTCCACCCAAGACACTTTAGTTCCCGCAGGGCTGTGGCCTGCCCCTCCTCCCTGCCTGCCTGGGCGTGGCTCTGTCCCAGGCCTGGACACTGTAGGGCTGGGAGTAAGCTCCACCCTGTCCCTCCCAGCCCTGCCGCCTGGCCCTGGCGCAGTGAGAGTTACAGCTGGGGCCCTCCCCGTCTCCAGAGCACTGTCCCTTAGCAACAGTCTCGGCAGGCAGGACGCACAACTAACACTGGGCATCCCAGCAGGCAGGAATACGGGACAGACGCAGGCCAGGTGAGCGAGGGGCCGACCCCAAGGTGGGCCTGGCCGGCTGAGCAGGAGTCTTACCTCGACCTCTCCCCCAGCAGCTGCCCGAGCCCCAACCCAGCATGGATACTGTGGACGCCACCATGGAGCAGCTCCGGGCACAGTGCCTGTCCCGAGGGGCCACGGGCATTCAGGGCCTGGCCAGGTGAGCTGTCCCCTTGCACCACCCCAACCCCAGCCCCCGCGGTCATCGTCCAACCACGTCTCCGGTCCTCCAGTTTCTTCCGCCGCCTGGACCGGGATGGGAACAGACGCCTGGACGCAGGGGAGCTCCGGCGGGGCCTGGCTGAGCTGGGGCTGGCGCTGGCTGAGGCGGAGGCGGAGGGCGTGTGCAGGCGCTGGGACCGCGACGGCAGCGGGACGCTGGACCTGGAGGAGTTCCTGCGGGCGCTGCGGGTGAGGCCCCACCACGGCCCAGTCGTGTCCTGTGGGTGTGGGGTGTCCAAAGATGTGACACAGAGGGACCCATCCCTGAGAGCTGCTGCTAGGCGCCTACTCAGGGGTGACAGTCCCAGCGCTCTGCATGTGCTGTCTGGAGGGTGGGGGGCGGGTGGGGAGACCTGCCACCCTCCATCCCCAGTCACCACCTCCCCCCAGCCCCCCATGTCCCAGGCCCGGGAGGCGGTCATTGCAGCTGCGTTCGCCAAGCTGGACCGCAGCGGGGATGGCGTGGTGACGGTGGACGACCTCCGGGGGGTGTACAGTGGCCGCGGCCACCCCAAGGTGCGGAGTGGGGAGTGGACAGAGGAGGAGGTGCTCCGCCGCTTCCTGGACAACTTCGACTCCTCCGAGAAGGACGGGCAGGTGGGTGGCCCCGTGGGCCCCACCTCCACCCTAGGCAGCCCACCCTGGCCTCGGGTTCCCCCTAAAACCTACTGCATCCCCAGGTCACGCTGGCAGAATTTCAGGACTACTACAGCGGTGTGAGCGCCTCCGTGGACACGGATGAAGAGTTCGTTGCCATGGTGACCAGTGCCTGGCGGCTGTGAGCAGCACACGGCTGGGCTGTGCCACCCTGGCATACACCCCCTCCCCCACACCTGAGCCAGGACCCTCCTCATCTGGGCTTTGAGCTGAGCAGAGCCCCGTGACAGGGCTGGGGGGGAAAACTGAGGCTGCAGAAGCGGCTCGAACAGGGTCACTGGCTCAGGACCCCAGGGAGAAAGGCTCTCCCGGCCCACACTCTGCTGACCCAAGGCCTCGCAGCCCTGCAGATGCCCCCGGTGATGTGCCCCCACCCCTCCCTGTGGGTCCCTAGGCTGGGAGGGTGTGTGCAGAGGGGGCCAGCCTTGGGAGGCAGAGTGTGGACACCTGCCCAGGTGTGGAGCACGAAGCAGGGGCCAGGCCCTCCGGCCTCCTGAGGCCCCTAGGGCGTGCGGGAGGCCAGGGTTTTAGTTAAAAGTTTAATGTAGTTCCCAAATACATTTCATATGACAATCTTACATAAATGTTCCAAAACACATGGGCGTTATCTGGTCTTTCTTGTCACTAGTTGGCTAAGGCTTAAAGCAGAGAAGTGTAACCGGGCCTCTTGGGAGGGCCTCTGGTGTCCTCCCAGGCTCAGGCTCGCTGGGGGCTGGGCAGTGCTGGCCAGTGCAGCCACCCGGCCGAGGGCGAGGGCTCCAGCCAACCCGAGGTGTGGGCAGCACAGTTGCAGGACTGGCCTTCTTTTCATCCTCGAGGGTGGAGCTGGGCAGTCCCCTTTTAAGTCCCCAGTAGGCCCTGTGCACGGGGACCTCCTCCACAGCCTCCCTGGGAAGGAGGTGGGGGGCTGGCTCTTGGCCACGCTCTGGAGTTGAGGTGGGCATGGGCACCATTCCTGTGTGTGCTGCGTGCGTGGAGGACAGATGGCCTGTTGTCTGAGGCCAGCCCCTGCCCTCTCCGCCAAGGCCTGCCTAGGTTCCTCCTCTGCCTCTCACAGATGTCCCTGGCCCCGGAGAGTCTTGGGGACAGTGATGTCTGAGGCTGGGGAGGGAATGGCCAACACCAGGAAGCAGGTTTGCGCCTGGGTGCCTGATGATAGGTGAACCACATGATGTGGACGCAGAGGAGGGTGGGGGGACCCTGCCAGGTCTAGGGACCTTTTTCCAGTCAGGGGGTGCCCAAGCCCTCGGCACCCCATGACGCAGTCTGGCGGAACCTGGGCAGGAAACAAGTGGGGGTCTGTCCCCCCAGCAGCCTGACCCCTCACCTCAGAGGCTAGGACCACCGAGGGAACAGGGAGCTCGACGGAGCTGCGCCTGCTCAATGCTCCTGAGCATGTTATTGTAAGAAACCAAAAACAAAGCCTTTGAAAATAAAAAGAAAAAAAGATCTGTAAAATATAAACCCCCAACCAGAGCACGGGAAACGGGAAGTGAAGATAGCAGTTGACAGAACGTCCGTCTGGCCCAGTGTTTACGCTTCCGAGAGCGGCCCCGTGCTGGGCTGCCCGGGAGGGTGGGAGCCCCAGGTGGGGCAGGACCTGCAGCGGGGTGGGGCATGGGCAGCGGCGAGGCCAGAGGCTCTGGCGGAACCCAGAGGCTCGCGACACGAGGGATGAAGGAACGAGGTCTCCAGTCCCAGTGAGAAGCCGTGACAAGCCTTAATGTGCCATTTCAATTCAAAGGAGGGGAGGGAAAAAATGTTCTTTTGTTTTGCTCATCAATATGATGAGGTCTCGTGTCCCAAACCACATTCAGGCAGTTCCCAGGTCTGCTTTCCGACAGGACGTGCGGATCCGGACTGTGGCCGACCCAGCAGGGAGTGGCTCCCGACCCCTAGGCGCTGCCTGTGGGGAGGGGTGGGCGGCCGACAGCTGGACGAAGCAGCAGCCCGAGGTGCGCCGGCCCGGCCGCTATGTGCTCCCGGCCGTCTGCCCGTCTCCTTCGTCGCCAGCACCTGCGGGAAGCAGTGGCCTTACCCTCGGCTCCCCTGGACGGAGCCGCAGTTAGTGGGGACCAAACCAGTTCCCTTAAGTCCCCCAGGGCAGGGATCACCTGCCTCACCTGCTCCAGTCGCCCCTGAGGGAGCCAGAACATCGTCATCGTCACTGTCGTCCTCCTCGTTGGACGGGGCTGCCCCAGGCTCAGGGGCCGGCACCTTGGCCTCCTGTTCCTGCTCCACGCGGCTGCGCAGGGCCAGGATGCGGTGGTGCAGGGCTGCGTACAGCTGGCCTGTGTCCTTGGAGCTGGCCTGGGGGAGGCAGGGGGCTGTGAGGCCCCCGGGACCCCAGTCCTCTTCCCTCCGGCCTGTGACGGGAGCGCAAGTGCCAGGTCCCAAGGCTCAGAGGTGTCCATGAGGCCTCAAGGGGAAGACCAAAGGCTTGGGCCTGCTGCCCCCCTCGGAAGGATGCCACCAACCCCCAGGTGGCTGGGACGATCCCAGGGGGCTGGGGGTCAGGCACAGCAGTGCTGGCCTGTGGCCCAGAGGTCAGGGCTGGTGGACATGACTGTCATCCCTCCACAGGACACAGGAGATTGCCCACGTTTGCCCTGAACACCTCACCACATCTCAGCCAAGCCCCCACGGCTTCTCACGGTGGTGTGGATCTGAGCTCCCAGGGGCTGGCACTGGAGAGGGGCCCACAGCAAGTGGGAGGAACCCAGCCTTGTGTCCCCGGCAGCAACCGAGGCCTGTTCCCTGTTCCCCGCACCCCTGCCCTGCCCGCAGTGGGCTGAAGCCCCCCAGCTCCAAGGCGAGCCTGGGCTGTAAGCCTTCCCCAGCGCTGCGCTCCTCGACCAGCTTCCCCCAGAGGCTCAGAGCCTGTGCCTGCGCTGCTGCCTGCATGGCGCTGGGGGTCTCGCTAGGGGAAGCCACCGTGGACTCTCTTCCACCAACCCAGCCCACTTGCTCTGGGGACAGGCCCTCCGGCTCTCCCCAGCCCTACCCCGCCTTGCTTGCTGAGGGCTGGACCAGGAGGCCCCCCCCCACCTCTACACCCAGAGCAGTGCCCCCAGAGCTGCCCATGGCGCCCCCTGTGCCAAGGAGCCTCTGTGCAGCTGGTGGGACGCAGGATGCGGCCTCCCTTCCTGGCAGCTCACAGGGGCGCTGCCCTCCTCCTGGAGCTGTGCTGGGCCACTCTGTCCCCCTAGGGGCCAGTGGCTGTGCAGGGGCGTCCTGGGGCGGCTCACCGAGATCAGGAAGACCTTCACGCCCTGGTCCTCGGTGTCCATGGCTGTGATGCGGATGCCCTTCTCGCTGGCCTTGTCGATCTGCATCTGAGCCCACAGCTTGGTGTTGAGGATCAGCCGCAGGCTCCCCTGGGTCCGCATCACTGCAACCGGAGAGCCCGTGAGCTACAGCCCCGGCCCCGCCCACCTCCCGAACAGCGGCTCCGAGAACATCACCGGGCACAAGCCCATGACCCTGCCGCCTTGGGGCCAGCCCTGGCACCACCCTGCTCCCTGGGGCGGGCTGCATCTCCCCCAGCCCTAACACCCTGAAGGTCACGGTGGGGCAGTGGCCACAAAGGCTGGTAATGCAGACCAGTGGCTACACCCAGGCCGTGGAGGGTTTGTTTGGTCCACACAGGTGGCACCAGAACAGGGGTGTCCTCGGGGAAGGGGTTAGATGGGAGCACGAGGTGGCCACCAGAGGCGGGGGCTGCATACTAGTGATGTGTGTGTTCTGCGTGTGACATTTGCCACAACAGCAGTCAATGCCCTCCTGACTATCCCCATGCCAGGTGGACGCCAGCGCCCGTTCTCTGGTTTCATTGAAAGTGAGGAAGGATAAGGCCGCTGCTCAGAGCTTCCTTCGAGAGGGAGCCAGGAGACCAAGGGCAGCAGCTCACGGTGGGGCGGTGGGGGGGGGACAGGACAGCCCTGTTTCTCTGGCGTGTGTGACGCCCACCCCCCTTTCCCGTCAGCTGCCTGCGCCCACTGGAACAGGCCTGGAGAGGGCTGGAAGCTCTTCCACGAGACTGCTCTGCCGGGAGGGCACAGCTGCCACAGCCCGATGACCCAGGGGCTCAGGGTACTACACACTCCCCATTCCCACATATTTGAATGTTTCCAGGAGAAAGAAGGAAAGCAAAGCGAGAGGAAGTTCTAGGGGAAGAAAAGAGCAGTGCCCGGCCTGGAGGGACCGTCCTTGTCTGTCCCCACTTAGGGAGTGTCTCTGAGTCAAGGTGGGTGAAAACTGCTCTTCGAGGGGGCCACGCAGCTACTGCTGGGCCTGAAATCCATGTTTCTGCAAAGGCCGAGAGACGCTTTGGGGAAGACAAAAAGATGGACACGCACATCACGGAAGCAGATACGCACACATGATGTTCTCCACGTGTTTGCGCACGCACACACTCATTTTGTAGTGAGTCTGTTTCTGGGAATAAGGTTCATGTACAAAGACAGCCCCAGTAGCGACTATGACAGCGAAAAAATCAGGAACAGCCTGAATGTCTGTTGGTAGGGAAAAGTCCATTACTGTGAACAGAATACCAATGTTGATGCTTTTGAAAAACAATCGTTATTTTGAAGAGAAAATAACGACCGGGGAAGATGCTCACAAAATAGCAAATGAAAAGAGTGGGATAAAAATGTATCCTATTTCCTTAAAAAAGGACCACGAACAGGAGGAACGGACCGCTGAAATATTATCAGCAGAGATTTGGATCCTCATAAAGAGATCACGGTTCATGTTCGAGTTCTTCTCTTTCCTTTCTTACATAAAACCACCACTTTTACTGTCAGAAAAATCAGTTTAAAAATTTCTGAAGACTTTCATGCACTTTGACACCGAGTGAATCACGGAGGGGCAGCTGGGCCCGTGGGTGAAGGCTGGGCTGGGTGCCGAAGGGCGTGTGCGGGGCCGTGTCGGGGGCTCTCCCGTGGGGACGGCTTCCCTGCTCCTTGGCCCCGACGAGCACCAGGTGGGCTGTCCCCCTTGGTTCCCTTTGGCTGTCCCCAACCCCTTCCAGGAGCCCTCGGCAGCTCACCTAGTCGGGACTGTAGCGTCCCGTCGTCGGCTGACGCCATGTCGTTGAGTCTGAGCAGCCCCCGACCTCGCTCCACCCACGACTGTGAGGTCTTGTCGAAGACGAACAGCTTACACTGGATCTGGAACACACGGGGTGAGCAGCGTGAGCAGGGCCCTGGCTGGGCGTCCTGCTGAGGGCGGACCCCCGAGAGCAGAGTCTCCGTCTAACCCACACCTCACCTTCAACCTGCAAGGACCGCCAGGGTCAGCAAACTATGGCCTGGGGGCCACATCTGGCCCTTGGCCAGTTTTGTGTCCTGCCCTCGAGCTACACCAGGTCTTACATTTTAAAAGGGGTATTTGGAAAAAGAAGAAAAGAATCATTAAGGAAACGCATGTCAGAACCGCAGTGGCAGTGAGAGGCCACTCTGCTCTGCAGCCCTGTGGAGAGACAGAGGCCCTATTCACTGCTGGTGGGAATGGAAAACGGGGCAGCCGCGGGCAAGACAGTCTGGCGGGTCCTCAGAAAGTTAAATGTGGAGTCACCACGTGGCCCGGAAACTCTACTCCGAGGGATCCACCCCAGAGAAAGGGAACATGTGTTCACACAGAAACATGTACACAAACGTTCACAGCAGCATGATTCGTAATAGGCAAAAAGTAGAAATACGCCAAATATCACCTGATGAAAGGATAAACAAACGGTCCATCCTTACGATGAAACTTTGTTCCTTCATAAAAGAGGACGAGGCTCTGACACGAATGAACCCTGAGAACCTTATACGAGTGAGAGAGGCCAGACACAGAAGGACACAGTGCGTGATGCCACTCACATGAAATGTCCTGGACAGGCAGATCCACAGAGGCAGGAAGTGAGTGGATCAGTGGTTGTCAGGGGCTGGGGGAGGCGGATGGGGTTTCTTTTTGGGGGACAAAAACGTGCAAAAACGTGCACTATACTCACTAGAGTGTAGTGACGGCTGTACAAGTCTACGAATATACTTAAAACCCACTGAACTGCACGATTTAAAAGGATGAATTATACAGTATGTGCAGTACACCTCAACAAAGCTGCTTTGTATATATTAAGAAAAGAAAACCAGGTGACAGAGACCATATGTAGTGCTTCACAGAAAGTGCAGACCCCTCTAAGTCAGTCTCTCTCAACACGACTACATTTAGCAACAGTGGAGAGTGGGAAAGAGCAGCACTATTAAAATTCCACGGCGCTCTGCACGGTTTATAGACGTGATGTGTCTACACGTGTCCAGGGAAAGGAAGCAGGCGGACGCTGCCCACCAGACCCACCAGCTCGCGAGGTGTGGCCTCAGGAGGAGCAGGAGGGAGACAGGGATGGGAGGGTGGGGTGGAAGCTCTGGCTGCATCTCACTTTTCCCTACTGAGATAGCACAGGGTGACAAAATAGTTATGGTTGCTAACTCTGGGTGACAAGAGGAAGGTGTGTATCCTGAAAGTCCTTGTCATCTCCTGAACCATCAAGGGTGTGTCAAGATGGATCCTCCTGCTCTAAAACCAAAACAAGAAGCCCCCTGGCCCGGGCTAAGCTCTCTAGGAGAACCCCCAACCAGGCTCCAGGCTGCAGCCGGCGGCCCTCACAGGGGAGGCCCTGCCCTTGGGGTGCGACCCCCAAGGTCAGAGAGGACCAGGCAGGGCCCAGGTCTGCGGCCCCCTCACCTGTAACACGTTGCTCTCCGCCTCCTCCCCGGTGATGACTTCCACTTTTTCCAACAAACACTTCCGTGCTGTGGCCTTGGTGTAGGCAGCTGCCGACTCGGCCAGGGACTCTGAAATGTTATTAGCTAAACAAGACTGACTATTTATTTGGTGAGGGAAAAGCAAGTAGCTCGCAGGAGACTGAGAGGGTGGTTCTGGCTTCAAGGACACAGGCTACCCCTGGAAAGCCAGACCTGGTGGCTGGAGTGGACCCTGGACACAGGCCAAGGCATTCAGACTCAGGATCTGCAGGGAGACTGCCCGGGAGCTGTCAGGCGTGGCCCCAGATCCCCACTTCCCATGCAGCAGAGGACAGGATGGGGACACACTCTCCTGTGCCTGTGCCTGTGCCTTGCCACCCTCCCTGTTGCTGTGCAGACTCGGGTCCTCACGTTCCTGAACACGAACACCTGTCTCTGCTCCCTGCAGTGCAGAGCCCTGAAGGCCACGGCCACTGCTTTTGGACCATTCCGTAGCTGGTTCACACGTGGTCGTTACTGCAGGGAGAGTCGGTCCCCTCATCCCTCCCGGAGGGGGCGTGGATGGAACAGTGTCCCCTTGTGTCCCTCATCACCCCCACACCACGGGGCAGCAGGACTGGAACATACCTTTCTCGGGGGTGGCCTCCTGGGAAGAGGACTCAGACCCAGACTCGGCAGCCACGTTTTCTCTGTTGGCATCTGGACTGACTTCATTTAATTTTGGGGGGCTCTGCAGGGAGACAAAGACACGTGGGGAGGAGGGCGTGTTTGTGTGGTCCTGGCAGACAAACTGCTGCAGAACGGATAGCCTGAGCTGGGACAGCAGCTCTGGGCACTTCCATGCCCATCCCCGATGCCATGAGCCCCCCCTCCAGCATCACGCGGGGCAGGTCCCACAGGCCTCTCCTGCACGCTCCCAGACTGCCTCGGAGGACCTGAGTGTGGCCTTGCAGGTGTCTTCAGGAGGTGGGTGCCACCAGCCGATGGGCACCCTGGGCCGCGCTGGGCACCTTATCTGCACGGCAGTGAAGTGTCTTTGACTATTTCATTGTAGTAGAAAAGGGGCAGTACTGACACCAGAGAAGAGAAGCTGGAGGCTCATTAATTTAGTATAAAGCAAGGCAAAGATGGAAGCAGTTAGGTGGGCCCACACAATCAGTCAAAGAAAAAGGAACAAAGTTAAGGAAGTAGGCAAGCTATTCTAGAACCCTCTCCCAGGCTGGCTGGGCTCTCTGGGAATGGACACAGCCCTTTCATGCACCCACGGCCCTGGCTGTGGTGGGTGGTCACAGGAGCAGGGAGGCCGCAGCCCTGTCTGTTGGCATAGCTGGCCTGTCCCCTGCTGGGCCGCAGCCTCACAGTCTGGGTGAGGCTGGCCTCTCCTGGCTCCAGATGGGCCCGGGCTGGTCCAGCAGCAGGTGATTAAAGACTTCTGTCTGGGCCAGGCGCGGTGGCTCACACCTGTAATCCTAGCACTCTGGGAGGCCGAGGCGGGCGGATCGTTTGAGCTCAGGAGTTCGAAACCAGCCTGAGCACAAGCGAGACCCCATCTCTACTAAAAACAGAAGGAAATTATTCGGACAACTAAAAATATATAGAAAAAATTAGCCAGGCATGGTGGCGCATGCCTGTAGTCCCAGCTACTCAGGAGGCTGAGGCAGAAGGATTGCTTGAGCCCAGGAGTTTGAGGTTGCTGTGAGCTAGGCTGACGTCACGGCACTCACTCTAGCCTGGGCAAAAGAGTGAGACACTGTCTCAAAAAAAAAAAAAAAAAAAAAAGATTTCTGTCAGACGGCTGCAGTCCCAGCGGGCCCGGTGGGGAGGAGCGCGATCCCTGACCCCCAGCATGGCCCTGACCATGGCTCAGGGGAAGCAAACCCATCCTGGGATGCAGCCAGCTCCAGGGCTGCCAGAGCCAGCAGCCTGGCCCGTGTCTTCCAGCAGAGTTTGAACCGGGTCTTTCTTCTTTTACTTGCAACCGAGAGCATCCCAACTCCGCAGGAAACAACGTGGCAGCCCCGCTCCCCATGTCCCCTCGACCTGGAGCTATTGGTCTCCAGGAACAGTCCCAGCGTGGCCACTCACCAAGACTCGCTCACTCATGTTCTGGCCAAATACGAACTTGTTGCTGGAGGCATCAGTGCTATTGGTCGAGTTCTCTAAACTGAAGAGAAGCCATGTAGTGAGTGTGGGGCGTGGGGTGGGGGTGTGGCCTGGCAAACGCACATGCACAAACACGTACACCAGCACAGAGGGCACAGCCTGGGCGCCTCCCTCGCTGTGCATGCCAGAGACAGGGTCCACAGGCATCTGCGCCTCACTGTGCCAGATGAAAATAGGGACCCACAGCTTGTCTTGATGGAGAGTCCCAATGGCACGAGGGAAGCCCACGTTCTACCCGCTCTGCTGGCCTGACTCCCAGGCAGGACGCATTTTCTCCTAAAACACCTGGAGGGGTGGTCGGGCTGTGGGTGAGCACCGCCAGTCAAGGACGAGGTGGGGTCTTCACCCTATGTGCCCACACCGAAGGTGAGGGGTCCCAGGGGTGTTGGAACCTTATAGCTGATGGGAGGTAACTGAGCCGCCACTGGCCCACTCAGGTCTGCTCTGGGCACAAGGTCTGTACGACAGAGGTCAGAAGGCCAGGCTGTGTCCTCCACATGCCCCTGGACAACCCTACAGAACTCTGGTCCCACCTCAGGTGTCTGCTGAATCCCAGGGCCAAGCCCACCCTCCTGGCCTGTCCATAGCTGTGCCCAGGATGACCCGACCCCGACAGCATCTGCTTCCCCTGCTCTTGGTGGCTCCTGGTCAGAAGCCAGGTGCCAAGGCTCCCGGGCCTGAGGACCGAGGGCCCCTCTGTGGCTGGGGCCCTGCCTGGACACCTGCCCCACCATGGCGAGGCGGCCACCAGGCCTGAGACACACACCTGGAGCTGATATACTGAAGGAAATAATTTGTTGCAGTTGGCGTTTCTGAACTGGGGTGTCCGGCATTCTCCATGTCAGCTTCGTCAGTGTTCTCATTTATTAGCTGGGAGCAGAGAAAGCACTTAGTACTCGGAGAGTGGCAGGGCCTGGGACGCTACAGCTTGGTCTGCCAGACACGAGCCCCTTCGTGTGTTCTCCCCCACCCCCTCCACACTCATACACACACGTCTGTGTGTGCGCCGAGTGCGTACTGGGGGTGGAGCCGCAGTCATCGCCACCAATTCTTGCTTTTAGCAGTTAACAACAAAGAGTACGCAGAGCAGCAGGGAGCTTTTTCTACCTTGCAGTAAAAAACTACCCTCGAGCTGGCATCTTGCTGGCGTTTTTGTCGATGCCTCTGCACCGAGAACACAGAACGCCTACAAAGGGGTTTATTATAAACACAATAAAAGCATCATTTTCCGAGGGCTTCTTTTATGCCAACTGCCGTGCCAAGTCTGTTAAATACATTATCTAACTGAATCTTCCTGGAACCCTGTGCGGTGGATGTTACAGGACCCGTTGTACAAGCAGGGAAGCAGAGGCTCCGGGCTGAGAACCTGCGGCTCAGACGTGTCTTTGATGGGGAAGCTGGATTTGACTGTGAGACTCTGAAGCCCACGCAGGCCCTTTGGACCTGTCAGATGCTGACCATGCCCCAATGTCAAAGCAGCTGTCCCCCCAAGATCAAGGCGCAGACTCAACAAGGCCTGAGGTCCTATGGCCAAGCCCTTCTCCGCCTCTCGCCCTCTCTTGAGGGAATAGTCCCTGAGGGACTCATTGGGTTGAAAACCGTGGCAACACTGACACTATTTTCCGTGTCTCTCAGGGGTTCGTGCATCGGTGGACAGTGAGTAACAGAGGAAGAAGCAGAAAACACGACCCTGCGCTTCCTACACGCCAGGGAGCTGCCTCCTCATCTCGGGCTCCTCCCCCTGGGCACTGTGGATGGCTGCGCCCGGGCACTGCAGGATGGGGAGCGGCATCCCGGCCTGTACCCACTCCACGCCAGGAGCGCCCCCTGCTTGTGACAGCCACAAATGCCTCCCGACAAGGCGGTGATCCTGCCTCTCAGGCTTCTAAAGAGGCTTCTTGCCAGATGAGCTGCTGAAAGGCTCCGTGCCTGTGGCTGGGAGAGGTAGTGCTGCCCAGCCCTGGTCTTCCCAGAGCCCAGGGCACGGGTCCAGGCACGTTCCCTGCCACTGCCAGCCTTTCCCGACCCTGACTCAAGTTCCAGACTAGACCATCACACCTGGAGGGCAGCTGGGAGGTGACAGACACTTTGCTGCCTTTTAGGAAAGAAAACAGTATTGCCCCCCCACCACAAGGTGATGGTTCTTAACTGGGCGATTCTGTCCCTTGGTCACCCCAAGGGCCAGGTTGTGTCCTCCACGAGCCCCTGGGGAGGGAAGCCCAAGGGGACACTTGGTGACATCTGTGGCTGCCACGGCTGGGGAAGGGGGTGCTCCTGGCACGGAGTGGGTTGGGGCCACAGACACTGCTCAGCACCTGCAGTGCCCAGGACAGCCCCTCAGAAAGCCAGGAACGACCTGGTGCGAACACTGCTGGTGCTGAGATGGAGAAACCCTGACCCGAGGGGCCAAGAGCCTCCAGGGCAACGTGGAAAGCGCCGGATCATTCTCTCTGCGTTCTCCGCTGTGGAAGTGAGTTCCCGGGGCTGACCACGTTTGGCCGCCTCTCTGTCGCCGCTCCCGGGAGCACAGGGGAGCCTGCCTTGAGCAGCCACTGCAGGCGGGGACTCTGCAGCCTGGCGGGTGTGCGCCGAGAAGTATGGAAAGCTCACGAAGCAGCAGCTGGCTGTGCCATGAGTCACAGAGCCTATGACATACTGTGTCCCCCTATTCTGAAAGGAAAGTCTACTGACTTTCCTGCTGTGTAACCTGGGGGAGGCGTTAAGAAAGCCTCATTAGCGCAACGGCCCATTCCACACCCCCTCACACACCTTAACTCTGTCCCGTAAGTTCTGCCCGAATACAAAGGCTTGCTGCGCAGCTTGTTCCTTCTTCTCACAGTTCTCCTCCTCAGAAGTATTGCTAGACTCATTTTTCTGGGGCTCCTTCTCCTATTAAAAAAAAAAGCAAACCCAAAACACAATAACCAATTACAGGTGACACACTCAGCCAGACAAGCAGGAGAGGCGATCCCACACCACCCTGTTTACTCCACTTCTCCCTTGGACACGGGTCCCCAGGCGAGGGACAGCCTGAGACTTGTCCCAGGACCAGCCTTGTCAGCAGCCCGGGATAAAGGTTCCCTGGGTGGGGCCCTGGGAGAAGAGGCCCCAGATCATCAACCATAAGCTGCTGCGGCCTTCGCAGGCGCATAGATTTGCTTTAGACACGTGAGGGTGGCACGAGACGGATGGGTTTGGATGCCTGGAAGCCACATGGCAGTTCTGGGGCCACCTGCTGCCTCAGTGGGGCCAGGGGCCCTGCAGCTGTCTTCCTTGACCTCAGCTGGGGTGAGACGGGCGGCCTGGACAGGAGGGCTGGGACCTGCACACTGTGGGGCTCTGGGGCCGACAGTACCTGGATTACTTGGGGCTCTGACAGAAACTGGGTCTTTGGGAGGCCGAGTGACCCCTTCAGCACGTCCACAGACGGCTGTTTTATGGAGAGGCTTTTAATCAATGTTTGCTCGGAGTCGTACTTGTTCTTGGTATAAAAAAGCCCCTGCTGGGTGCAGTGACTCACGCCTGTAACCCCAGCAGTTTGGGAGGCTGAGGCGGGAGGATCACTGGAGGCCAGGAGTTTGTGCCCGGCCTGGGCAACACAGCGAGACCCACCGCTACAAAAAATAAAAAAATTAACCAGGTGTGGTAGCACGGACATGTAGTTCCACTTCTAGGAAGGATCGCTTAAGCCCAGGAGTTTGAGGCCGCAGTGAGCTACGACTATACCACTGTGCTCCAGACTGGGTGACAGACTGAGATCTCATCACTTAAAAAAAAAAAAGATGGGAGAAGAAAATCTAGTGCAGCTGTAATCAGCGGAGAGGCAGGTCTCTGACATGCAATTATGCCCACTATATACGGACTGGAGGGAAAAATCAAGAAGTGTGATTCCACGTCTGCTAAAAGCAAACCCAATCCCAAGCGTGTGTGTGTAGAAATGTCTAGGAAAAAAACCCGGAGAGACAGAATTCAAACTGTTGACAGAGCTAAGTCACCCCGGGACTTTTTAACTGGATGGTGGCTTCTACTTGTTACTTCGTAGAATTTCTCATTTACTTAAATATTTTTAACATGCAGGTCTGACTTTCATAACTAACATTTCAGGAACAAAATCATTTATCTTGGGACAATGGAACATGGAGTTGCAAGTACTTCATAAATGTTTTTCTTACACTACATGGTAAGAGCTGCTGTGTAATTTGAAAAGAAATTTAAGAAGGCTTTTGGGCGGATGCTCTGGGGATGTGTACAGTGGACAAGAACGCAAGGCGGGGTTCGCCCAGGACACGTGAAGGGACCCGAGAACCCGGAACCCCGGGTGAGAAAGGCTGCAGACAGCCCCCGACGCCGCTCGGTGCTGCAGGGAAGGCTGGAATTAAAATACCAGCCCCAGGATGGGTGGGTCACGGCACAAAGTGCACTTTCTGGTCCACCTGTCCAGAGTTGCGGTGTGTCTGTACTGTGCTCCCTATAGATGCTGCTGCCGCCGCCTTCACGCTGCAGCCTCATGCCTGTGCGAGAGCAAACGTCGCCTTTTCAGATCAAACACACACTGTCTGGTGATCTGGGAGTCCTCAGAGGACAGGCCAATGCCCAGCCCCGCCGCAGAGCATGGGGCTAAGCTTCCAGCAGAAACATGCGCCTGCCCTTGGCTTCTGTGTGCTCCCTGTTCACCCTCTGACCGGGGCTATTCCCGGTAGGCAGAGCCCACAGGGTCACCTGAGGTTGGGGACGCAGGCAGGGCTGCAGGCAGCCAACCGTTTCTGATCGCAGAGCATGTCCATGACCTGGTGGAGACTTTTAAAAGAGTTTAATTAAACTAATAAGCAAATCCTGAGGCCTGTAATCAGTCTCAGTGTGTGTGTGCGTGTGTGGGGTGGGGGAGGGCAGTGGCTCTTCCTCTTTCCCAAGCACAGTACCTGAAATCTAACCATGGAGGCTCCCCCATGGGCTACCCCAGCCCCTAAGCTCGTGGTCCCCAATGGGTGCCATGTCAGCATGTGCCATGTTCGTGGGCGGCAGGGAAGGCCAAAGGTCTTGTTTTGGCTGCTGCTGCAAGGCCAGAGAAGGGTGGGTGTGGCCAGCCCTGAAAATCTCAGCAGAATTGGGTGGTCACGAGACAGCACGTGTGGAACCTCTGTCTGGGCGCCTGCCACATGCAGAGCTGCTGACGGGGGTGTGACGTGTGAGGCTCCATCCCAGACCCATGTGGAACACTGGCTTTGGAGCCAGACACGGGATCCTAAGAGGGACAGACTCAGGCGCTGGGAGCAGCAGCCAGGAGACCATGAGGCACGGAAATTGACTCCAGCCACCAGGACCATCCAGCCTGATGAGGGGACACTGGAGAGGCCTGACCTCTGAGCTCAGGGACTTGAGAGAACACGCTTGTCTGCACTGCCAAGGAAGGGCTAGAACCAACAGGAAAGTGACGCAGGCAGATGGGGACCAAGCGAAGTTCGAGCTCTCGGCAGCGAGTGCTGCCCACTTGGCTCACGTACCTGCCACTGGGAGCGCCAGAGGAGGACAGGATGGGCCAGGTCCCTTCTAGGTCTCCCTCCAACTCAAAACCGCACACCTGAGTTGCCTGCACCCTGGAGACCCCAGCTGCCCGAGCTCCCACGCGGCAGCATGCTGCCGAAGCGGCCCGTATTTCCAGCTCAGCAAGCTGTAGCTTAAAGGCGGGAGGGCTGGCCCTCAGTGATGGTTTCAATTCTGATTATAGATGGCCGTTTTCATCATGGAGCCCGGGCATCTGCTGCGGGTGGAGGGTATAAAACTGCAGGCCACTGAAATGGGTGGAGCAGAGAACAGACACACAGATCCAGTCTGGCCTTCACACGAAGACGCCACGTCTGTGTTTCAACTCTGACTCCAAACCCATCCCCGCCAACCCTGACAGCAGGCTCTTCGACACATGCCCTTATTTACAGTGGCCGTGAACACACTGCCTAAGGCTGACATCCCCAAGCGAACTTCTTCAACCAGAATGGGCACGCATGTGCGAATCCCCAAGGGGATGTCTGGGTATGGAACATGTTTCATCGTGCAAAATGCTGCAAGACACTCATCAATGACAGGCGATCCTCTGTCCCCAGTGACTCCCCGGAGTACAATGGTTCGGGTGCCCCCAGCAGGAACACTTTGCGGCAGAGCATGCTGGTGGCACCATTCTCTTTGACTGATGGAGAAAGACTATTCTTGGGAGTTTAGTAATTTGGTTTGTCAGTTACAGTTATTCACCAAGACCACTGAGCAAATCCAGGAATCCTTAAAACAGCCTCACGTCCCAACTGCTCGGAACTGGTCTGTGAACTTGGCAGCACCCCAGCAGCGTCACCCTCCCGCCCACGGGGGCCCAGGACCCACCGACCTCGAGTGTGCACGCCTCGTCGGCAGAGTCGGAGGGGCTTCTCCGTGCGGGGTTTTCGGGTGATGCTGCTGGCGCTGCCCCTGTGCAGTCTGCTGGGATGCTGAGCCCATTGGTGCCACTGCTGGGGACTGCAGGGGAAGGAAGGAGACAGGGAATCACGACGAGGCACCTCCCACCCCCGCTTGCTGAGGGGCTGGACCTTGTCTATGGCCCCCTCCTACCGCTTGGGCCGCAGGACAACGTCTCCTTTTTAAGGAAAGGACCTCGCGTCTCTACGAAGAGCCACAAATTCTTAGGTTAAAAAAAAACCACACAACTCCCCCACCCCAAAAACCTCACAGAAGTGAGGATATCTTATCTTTATTTGAAAAAGAACCACATGACCTTTTAGCATGTCAAGAAGCATTATTGCTAAGAAAAAGAAAATATACTGGGGAACAATTCTCTGAGTTTTACTAGTATGGTGATGATGCATTTCCCTCCCTGTAAATAGTTACGAATATACGACACATAGTTTTAAATCTGGCTTTGACTGTTTAGCATTAGATTAAAATAATGTCCGATGTAACTAAAACCCTTCAGAAACAGGAACTATTTCCCATGTGTCAGATGCTGAGTTGCTTCCGGAGAATTATGGGGCATTACAGGGAAAGATGAAGAGGAAGAAAAGCCCATTAGTATTGAGAAAATTGAGGACTAATTGGAAACCACCACTGCTGTGGATATAATGGAAGCGCGGTTTAGGAGTTACGTCTACAGGCTGGCAGGTGAGATGAAAACCGCATCTAACCAAAAGGACCCTCTGAGTCTTAGACGACCTGTAAAGTTACAAGGCTGAGGTTTCCTTCGCAAACACGCAGGGGCAAATCTAAACATTCCCAGGAACCCGCCAGCTTGGATGGAGACCCAGAACGAACAAGCCGGTTTCCACCCACAGTCACGCTCAGCCCACAGCTTCGGGGAGGCCGTTACAGCGCTTGTCTCTCCTCTGCAGGGCTCACTGGGGCAGGGCTGGAGGGAACGGGGAGGGGCGGCTCATTTAAAGGATCACCTTCCCTGAGCTCTCTGTAGTTCTGGGTGCATTCAGCAGTCACCTGTGTCGCGACACCGCTGTCCCGGGCGCGACTTCAGAACCGCTCTACCCTGCCGTCTGAGCCCAGGTGCCAGGGCCGCCGTTTCTTACCGGTCTGGGACAGCGCCTTCGGCTGCGGGGCTTGCAGCACTGCCGGGCGAAGCACGCTCCGCTGTTGCTCCTTCGGCTTCTGGCTCGGCAGACCTGGGGACAGAAGTTGGCTGTCCCAGGGCCTCCGGGCCCCTGCAGAAACACAAGACCCCCTGCCCCTAGGCGCTTCAGAGAAGACTGGCCCCCGGCAGGCTAGCCTTTGCAGGGAAGAACTTTTTAAAAAACCTGAGGTCTTTACAGCTGACAAGCAGATTCTGGCTACTGTTATTTTTATATGTGATTAAGTGAAATTCCCACATAACTGACCGTGTTTGCAAATTAATCCAGTTAGTACAGTGATGCAGCGAGCCGCTGGAGCGCAGCAGCTCTGCTAATCGGGGTTAACACGTGGTATGCTGGAGCCAGAATGTTCTGGAGAGACAGGCCGCACCAACCGCGCTGGGCTGGGCACACACTCCACATGGCCCCCCAGGCTGAGCCTGCTCCTGCGCCACCGCCTCTTCTGAGCACAGGGCTCACAGGGAGGGGTCCCGAGCTCCCTGGTCAAACTGCCTCTCTTTAAGCAGCTTTCCAGGGCGTGTGGTCAGGTCACAGAAGACCTAGAATGCAGGCTGAGCCCAGTGTCCAGGTGCGGCTGGGCAGAGAGGCCTGGAAAGGTGTCAGGAAATCATCTCCCCTCCCCTCCCCGGCGGAGACCTACCTGCGCTGGGGGCCTGGCCATGGATCAGGGTCGGTGGCTTCAACCGGAACCCGCTACTCCTTTCCTCTAAAAGCACAAGACAGAGCATGAAAAGCAGGTCTGCCTGGGGTGGGGTAGGGCTGGGGAAGGAAGGGCAGCAGAGGGCTCTGGTCTTGGCCTCAGGGACCAACTGTGGCCTGGGGGAGGGGGAGAGGCGGGGGCTGCAGGAAGGGGTGCCTCTGGGGCAACTGCTGACAGTGGGCTCCCAGAGTGAGGGGACTAGCTAGGCTGAAGGCTGAGTGCACTGAGGTCTGCTGGCCTGCCCAGGCACTGAGATAGCCCTGGAGAATGTTGGGGAATCACAGAACCAAGGTTCCCAGGACCTGGTCCCTTTCCTAAAGGACGAGTTTGTGGTGGGGAAAAGGCTCAGTGTGCTTTTCCCAACAGACGTCTGGGAGAGGAGACACCCTTTCTGTGATGAGAAGGCCAAAAGTGGAGGATGCCTGGCTTCCTTCCTCTTTCCAGATGTGCCGCAGAGCTCTCCTGGCCTCCTGTGCGGAGGCCGGATCTCCCCAGGACAGAGTCTGGGCTGACACACACAGAGCTAGAGGAGGACAGGAAGTGCACGGCAGCTCCCGGGATGGCCTGAAAGCCTGCCTTCAGCTCAGCTGCCTTTCCACGAGGATCCATAATCTGTGTCTCGGTGACTGTGTCCACTGGTGGGGACGGCAGTCTAATCTGCTCTACGACAGGAAGGACTGTCATAAAAGGCCTGTGACGCAGGCAGGCCGCTCCTGGATGCAGCTGTGAACCCAGCCGTCACGCTCAGGTCCAGCCCTTGTCACGGTGCAGGGCACAGATCAATTGCAGAAATCACCTGGGTGTCTACACACCAGCCCTGAACAATTCAAAAACGAAATCAAGAAAACTCCATTTTACATTAGCACCAAAAGCACTAAAATACTTGGGAATAAATACAACAAAAGAACTATAAAACACTGTTGGAAGAAATCAAAGGTTTAAATAAATGTAAAGACAAAAAAACCAAAAAAACAAAAAAGTAAAGGCACCCCGTAAAGTCACAGGCTGATTCTGTTTATATGAAATGTCCAGAACAGGCAAATTCACAGACACCGAAAGTGGATTCTGGGCTGCCAGGGGCTGGGGGAGGAAGACTGGGGAGTGACTGCTGACGGGGAACGGGGACGTGGCTTGTTTTTGGGGTGATGGAAATGTTCTGAAATTAATTATGTTGATTAATAGCTCTCTGGAGACACTAAAAACCATTCAATTGTACGTTAAGACGATGACGACAAAACCTAAAACACATTTTCAGGCTGAACTTTCAGATACGAAGCAAAATCAAAGCAGAATTTAGAATGCGACAGAAAGACACTTCCCCTGCTGCGCTGAGGAGTCACACTGCTTTCCCTGGGCGACGACAGGATTCTAACAATTCTGACTACTAGTTAGCAGGAAGGGGCTTCACCGCCGGATGGGCTTCGAGCAGCCTGCTGGCGGGGCTCATGCCTCTTCCGTCACAGAGTGGTCATAAAACCAAACTCAGGAGAACCAGACGCCACAGAATGCAGAGAAAGAGATGCCAACATATGCTCCTTTTTAGAAAGGAAATACAGAATTACATTTCCAAAGCACAGCATTATTCAGAAGATGACCGGCAATTTAGATATGTCTTTAAAAGCCGAGGTCAAATTCACAATCGAGATAATACTAGAAAGCCTTGAGAGCTGTCTTTCCAGTGCTCACATCTTGGCTGTAGATTGCTCTTCTACACTCTGCTATGCGCAGAGCAACGCGCATCCCGACTGGAGCCCCCAGGCTGCGCGGTGGGGTGGCAGGTCCGGGTGCCTGCTGCCATTGCCCAGCCCGTGGTGCTGGGGCAGAGTCCGGCCCACTCTGCAGCTGTACAGGAAACCTAGCTCAAAGCTGCACTGAATGGACAGACAGACAGACAGGTATGCTGCACTTTTAAAGCGACCTGGGGACTCAGGGGACAGAAGGGGCCCAGGACAGCAGGGAGGTGTGCTGTTGGGGCAGCCAAACTCTGGAGGCCCCTGTCTTGGGCCCCACTTCGCTAAAACATGGGTGGTCGCTTCTCACTTCTTCCAAAAACTTACTTTTCCTGCCACACAGTCAAGGTGAGGCTTGGGGCTATGTTTCCCCAAGGCACCCGCCTCCCTTGGATGAAGAGAGCCCTGTGGAGAGGAAGAGGCTGTCTGTCCCCCAGCTCCGCCACACCACTGGGGCTGCCTCTGCCCTCCTGGGACACAAGTCTGGAGCAAGCCAGCTCCTGTCTGCAGGTGTCTCCGCGGGTGATGTCTGAGGGAAGCAATGCTCACCCCGCGGGAACCCCCAATTTAACTAGGAAAATATACTGGAATTACATCTGGCGTGCCCTGGACACTGAGCCTGGCTGGAGCTGTGGAGGACAGTGCTGGCGCAGGGTGGGGCAGGGAGCGATAGGTAGCACACCAAGGACAGAGGGAGCCACGTTTCTTACTGTCAGGAAAGAGAGGTGGAAACATGCCGGGGGGGAAGCTAGAAGAGCCCAACTGGTCCTGGCCTGCGGTATCCACGTTCTCTAGGGCATCTCTGGAGACACAGAGCCACACAGATGGAGATGAGCATGGCCCCAGCTCTGTCCACTGCGGGTCTGGGAGCAAGGATGCACCATGAGATTGTGGGAGCACACGGAGCCCCCAGATCTTGGTTTCTAAAAACCACTGTCCACCACACAGGACCAGGGCCCATCTGAGGTGTGGAGGAGATTCCAGGGCTGTGACAGGAAGGAGGATGAGCCAGGAGCCTCTGGCTGCAACAAAGTGAAGGCAGCGCTCAAAGGAGCGGCGGGGACATGCCGAAGGACACAGGAAGCTCCCGACAGGGCCTCCGCTGGCTGAATCTGGGACAAACTGAACAGTAAAATAAAAACTAGCAACAAGAGATCATATCCCACTGACTGAAACAGGAACCATCAACTCCTATTGACATGATCAATCAAGGCACACTAAGCGGGGAGAAATGTAAACTCTTCCGCCCAGAGAATGCCAGCGCATGGACGCAGGGGGCTGGCAGGCTCAGAGGCTCCCACAGGGTGATCCTCCGAGTGAAAAGTATTTCCTGCAAGAAAACATGACTGGGTGCAAAACCTGGAGGGTAGGAGTGAGATGGGAAACGCACTGTCCTGAATCTCAAAGTCTCTCTCCAGAAAATATCCATCACGAAGTGTGGAGAAAAGTAATTTAACTTGGTGAAACGTGGCCGGCAGCGCCCTTATTGAGGGATCAAGGTTTACCCTGCCAGCAAGAGGGGCAAGGGGACATCGTGCACACTGAGGACGCAGCGTCACTTCCGTGCTGTTCTCACCCGACATGCCTAACCTGGGTCTAGTCCCCAGGAGGTGCTGGGCAAACCCACCCAGAAGGACCACCACAGAACGGCCGGCATGTAACCATTGAGGGGAGACCGCAGAAGCGTTCCTGCTGGAAGGAGACACATGCACGGCGTGACACAGGCCCAGTCCCTTTGCTCTAAAGGACTCATGGGGACGACGGTGGAAAACTGATCGGGGCCTCAGGTAAAAGGGATAGACAAGTGCTTTATAATTCTGAAAGTGGTAAAGTTTTTCAGAATTAAAGCTAAAAAACGGAAAGCAGGCAGGCAAGGATGTGAAGTTCACTCTGAGAACTGACTTGCTCACCAAGCAGAGAAAGGTGCTGGAGAGAGGGGGAGGGAGGCCGTCACGCACAGACCTCGGAAGCGACCAGGACATTCGCACTAGAGCTTGACAGCGTGCAGGAGGGATTGAGACCCAAGGCTTCAGTGACGGATAAACTGGACCAGGACCGCAGGCCCTGCACCACTGTTGAGAACCACCTACCAAGCGACACCCCAGCTATGACGGACAGACAACGTGCTATTCCTGAGGACCTCGAAATCCGGGCTCCTCTGAAGGACACAGCAGGGGGTCAGCTCAGAACAGTCTGCTTCCGGAGTCAAAATGAACCGACTGTCTGAAATGGTGCCATGAAATCACTCCTGAAAGTTACAAAGACTCGTTTCTTCCCTGACATCCACATCATGCCAGCGAGGACTTATCTGGCAGAGCTTTTGAAGTCGGCAATGAATTTATATAAGGCAGGTTGGGTTACAGAATTCACGTTGTTAAACCTGCTCGTTAAATGTTTTATGAGGAATTTCAGCCACGTGGGAGAGACTTTCAGGAAATCTTGGAGTTGATTCTCCAGTGAAAGACCAAAAAAGGAAGGTTCCATACTCTTCAGAAGGGATCAAGCTGTTTTCCTTAAAATTTTAAAGCTGTGATTAAACACATTTATCTGAACAGATCTTAAGCAATATTAATTAATGTGAGAATTTAATACACAGAAAAGGGCTCTGGAAAATTGTACAAATGTCACAGGAGTTACCTTTGCCATGGCAAGGGTAGTGGAAGGGGGCAGGGATTCTTTTTATTTGATGTATTTCTGATTTACTTTTTTTTTTTTTTTAAACAACATGAATGTATTACTTGTATAAACCTTTGAAAAATGAATACATCTCTCGAAAGATCTTTTTTGTTTAAAGGACTTAAAGTTCATTGCAACCAGGCCTTGCTCGCAGAAACTGACATTCGAGGGGTTATGAAGCCTTGTCTCATGTTAGATTTCAAATTCATGAGCGGACGAGTTAAGGGAAAAAAACCCTAGGAACCGAAAAAAAAGAACTGGTTTAAAATGCCCATTCCTGGTGAAGACCTCATTTTTCTAGCACCAACTGCTTTTCTTCCCAGGAAAACCCCCCGGGACGGCCGGAAGACAGAGGGACGCAAGGGCTCACCTGGTTCTGAGTCAGAATTGCCTGCAGATGACTCGCAGAAGGTTGATGGCATAAAAACATTGTTTTTTGATACTGTCGGCAGGGAGGTGCAGGCAGGGGAGGGAACAAGAGGAAAAACAGCGTGAGTAGGCGGGGTGGACACACAGGGTCGATTCTCAAGCCCCAGCTCGGGAAGGGGCAGCACTCCCTGGATGAGGCATTCAGACTTTCCTGATAAAAGCAAACCCCACAGCTCAGTGAGAACGGGGTTTCCGCCGAACGGCCTTTGTCTGTCTCATGGCAACTCCATCTACTGGGGACTGCCCGTCTCATCCTGACACCCCTGTGGGGGCAGCCAGTAGGGCAGCGGAGGGCGCTGGATGCTCCACACTGCGTGGGAGGCTGCCCCCTACTCCACCCCCAGATCTTACTTTAGGACAGCAACTGCCCCTGGGGTGTGGCCACTGACAGCTTCCACAAAGGAGGGGAACTCAGAGGTGGAGAACTAAGCCTGAGCGCAGAGAGGACAGAATGAAAACGCCCTCCACGTTAGCGCTGCCCCTCACGTCCCTAGTTCCCCTGACGACCGAGAGCTCCGTATCTCCTAGGTGCCATCGCCCTGGAGGGGAGGCGGAGGTGGTTTTTAGCAGGCCTGGGAGGAAAAAGGACTGGCAGCCCCCGCCCCTTGAGCTCCGACCCCAGCACAAAAGGCCGCCTCTCCCCTCTGTGGGGCCTTTGGACACAGCAAGCGAGCGGTGAGTGGGGAGGGATAAAACCAACGACCAGGAGGTGGGAGCTTCCCATCTGTGGGAACTCCTGTCCTCCTGTGCAGAGGCCACCTGACCACCCGTGCAGAGGCCCTTTAAAAAAGGATGTCCACTGCAGCCTGGACTGCAAACCATCTGGACAGTTCCCCAGCCATGCGGGGGAACCTAACGCAGCCGTGAAAAAGGCTGTGGCCATGTCCCAAGTCAACATCGAGGGAAACTGGCTTGAAATCAAGTGTGTCAGAGGGACGACCGTGACAGGACTCTGGCTTTCTACGCTGTACATCCCTGTAAGGTCTGTGTGACTTTTATAAGCACAAACAACTTTCAACAGTGTTTTCTCCTTTGCAGTGATATCCTCAAGGTTCACAACTGTCAAATGATTTGCGTGAACTTCCCAAGGATGACTTTTGGGTTGGGTAACTGAAGAACCTCTAATTACATGTGCATCTCCACCTGACACTAGACAGCTGAGACAGTGTGGAGTGGGGAAGTCAGGATGAGGAAGAGAGAAGAGCCCTGCGGTGTTCACCCTCCGATCTGCAGGTGTCCCCGGGCTGGCAGCTGCCGCTAAGTAGCCCCAACAGCTCTCTCTGCCCTGGGAACCTGCCTCTTTCTGCACCAGCCTTTGTATGAGCCCCCAGGGTGACCTCCATGCACGTGCCCAGGCCAGGCCTCACATCCAGGGCCTCCAAGCCCTCGGGCCCACCCCACTCTGCAGTCCGAGGGCGGCCCACCCTTGCAGGCCTCACCAAGCCCCCCTCCTTCTGGGAGCTGACGGCATCACACCCAGGTCTCTGCTGGGACCTCATGGCCTGCCAGTTACCGGGGTATGTGTGTGTCTGGGCTGTTTCACTGGACTGCCAATGCTGGGCATGCACTGGTCGGGAGGACACCCCACCCCTACACCTTCAGCGTGTGGCCAGCAGCCTGGGAAAGAAGACATGTAATCAACAGTCGGAGACCCCAGTAGGGCTGTCAACGGTGAATCCTTTTCCTCCATTTCAGAGGGACGATTTCTTCACAGTCTTCCTCAGGCCACGCAGTCGCACCACACCGTGTAAAGTGTCACTGATTCCAGACAGGGGACACCTGCTGCTACATTTTGGGCAAGCTCTAACCTCACTCCTGATGGAGACCCAGCCTGGGGTTAATTCTAGCTGGACCTGGGCAGGAGATGGAGGACGGACGAGGGGCGCGGGAGGGCAGCAGTGGGTTTCTGAGCACACATGCTTTCATCATTCGCTAAGTACGAGCGTTACCTGGCTGCGTAGGGGGGAACTGGGTTAAAGACGACGTTCTTTCTCGCTTGACAGGAGGACAGTAATTTCCATCTTCCCGGTCAGAATCTACAGAGGAGGAGGAGGAGGAGGAGAAAAATCAGGTTACTTCCGTTTTTACAACTGGTTAAGACGGTAGAGGCCGCTAGATATTTCCTTACCTTCTCCACCTTCAGGACTGGAGCCTCCGGCTGATCTCTGAAACAAGAGCACAGCAGGGTGGTGAGAAAGCGCCAGGCTAACGAAGCGAACAACTCCCAGCTCCATCCCGACGGCCCCTGACATGCGATGATGCTGAGGGCTAACTCCCTGAGCTCAGCCGCCCGAACCACAGGCACAATTTCAACCTAACGCTCAAAAATTACCTCTGGTGAACCTCTGCATCTGGCCTACCAAACCTGGTGCCAAGGAGAGCATTCACGGCATGAGGATCAGTTTCTGTGTCTCCACAGGTTACAGCTAACTGCCCCGCCACCCCCAGACTCAAACCCAGTGAAACTTTATCTGGCCACAGTTCACTTTGCCAAGAGCTGAAAAGCAACCCTCCCCGCTACGAAGAGCCACAGGATTGTTTAAAATGGTCGTATAACACTGGATCAGAGTGGTTTCTGTTCTTTGCCTTGGAACATTCTATTGTGCGGACCCCTGTCTCAAGGTGGGCTATTATTTCCAGAGCAAGTGAGAGCTCTGATGCTTCGGGCCAAAGCCCTCTGCAAAGCGCTCAGACCATAAACCATCAAAGACAACAGCCCTACACAAAACAGCACAACCACAAGCTCAGAGAGAAGGGGGCTGAAGAATTTCCTACTTTATCAACCTTCAGTTTTAGAATGTGAACTAACAGCGAAGACTGAAAATGAGTAGCATCCACCCTCTCTTCCCATGCACGACCCCTCACGTCCGTCCGGTCTCATAATACAGCAGCCAAGAGCAAACTGGCAAGTGACCGCCCCTCCTCCTGGCCTACTGTTTACAAGTGAGCAGAAGAGCCAGTTTTCTCATGTTCAGAAAAGCTCCTCAGAGGTCAAGTTTAGCTAAAGAGAGCCGCCCAGCTCAGCGAGCTGTGAGGGACTGAATGAGACGATGCATGGGAAGTGCGCTGCAAACTGCAGAGTGCTGTGTAAAAGGGTCACTGCAATAATGGAGGTTACGGGACCAGGAGAGACCCCCCTAAAGGAAAGGTGGCACATTTCTCCCTGAAGGGCCGGTCAGTACTCCTGGCTTTGCAGGTCACACCTTGGTCTCTGTTTTTGTCTTTATAATCCTTTAAACATGTAAATGTCATCTTAGCTTATGGGCCTGGGGCCAGAGTTGGGGGCAGCCAGAGCCCAGAGAGGGTAGGAGGTCTCCTCAAAGTCACACAGCTAACTCACGGCAGTAAGAAAAAAATCCTAACCTGGACTTTCTCCTCCCCGGTGAGAGCTGAGCACTCGGGTTTGTATCAGACAAGCAAGCCCGGGTTTCTTGCTTGAGGTCCGTGTTCCAAGAACTCCTTGGAAATGGTTCTGGCGGACTGTCTGTGAAACGAGGGCAGTTAGCACCATCCGGGCAACTGGAAGGCTCAGAGGAGACCACAACCAGAGTGCTTGGGAAACACAAAATCCTCCTGATACAACAGGGGGTTCCGTTAGTCACTGGGCAACGGTGAAAACACCGAGCCCAAAATGAAATAAAACGCTGGTGTCAAGCAGTCTGGCCCTGGCACCAGCACCAAACAGCGGCCGGGACATGCGCGTGGAGCACGAAGGCTGCTCCGTCCTTGCCACCTCTTGAATGCCTGACGAGTTTAGTCCGTTTACCGGCTCTGCCGTTTCCCAGGCGTGAGGCTTACACCTTGCCCAGGCTTTGGTTTCCTCACTTGGAAAGGAGATTCTGCAGTGTCCCCCTCACAGGGAGGGCTCAGGGCTATGTCCCACAGCAGGTCACGTGCTCAGCCCAGCACCAAGGCCAGTTCCCAGGCAATATTATAGAGTCCACTACTCACACCTGGATGTGGCCACTCCCAGCCCTCAGGCCGAGTTGGGGCAGAGCTTGAGCTCAGGGGGCAGGTGTGAGTGGGAGCCAGGGACGTGAACTGAGTCCTGGGTACAGCCGGGACGTGAGGGACCTGGGTTACGAACAGCTCCCCAATCCCAGGACTTAGCGTGGGGGCTGAGTCACTCAGGTAGCACGTTGATTCCACACATGCCAGCACCTGGGGTTGCATCTGATGATGCAGAGCTGTCTCTGGTTTGTCACCAGCACTCTCCCATATTGTCCCTTTCCCCAGGTGACATCAGCAGGGAGCAGACTCCAGGTACTGCTCACCCTCGTGCTTAGCAAAAGTGAGAGAATCAGAGTGTGGCGGCAACTGCCCAGCCCAGCCACCGAATCTCCGCCCACACAGCAGAGCCCAGGCATCCCACCCTGGGCCAGTCACTGTCCCAGACTGGCCCTTAAGTCAGCCACCCAGCCCTGGCAGCTGACACACGACACATTCTCCCTGGTAACTCCCGCCCTCCTGAGCCCTGCAGGCTGGCTCTGGCCTCCGAATGCTCTATGCGGCCTCACTTGTCCTCCCACCCACTCCTAACAGCGGGCCCAGCACCGCCCCATGCCCACCCCGAGGCTCTAGGCTCTCCTCTCCTGTTTTAATTCACTGAGCATCTCGACTGTACCAAAACCCTCGCACGGTGGCCTCCCAGGTCCTCGGGGATCTGCCCCTTCCTGAATGACCTTTGGGACATGGAGATGGCCATCCTGTCTCTGGCCTCTGCAGAGGACCTGCGCCCTCACCCGATGATGTCCTCCTTCCACCTCAGCTGAGAAGGAGTCCCTCAGTCACTGTGATCTACTGCCCCTCACACTTCTCCTTCGTGGCTCTGACTCCAATCCTGGGATTTGGGTTGGGGTCCCCCGCTGCATTCTGAGTTCCAGGAGGGAAGTGGTCCTCACATAGGAGCTCACTTGGCACTTGCTCAAGGAAAAGACTCCGCCCACCAGGCACCCTGCAGGCCACGGAGCAGCAGCGCAGGCTCATGCCCCGCCTTGCCGTGGGAGCCATCCACACAGTGATGCCCATGTCTGGCTGGCAGCCCTGACAGCTGACAGTCCCTGCTCGGGACACTTCCCCCTTCACCACACTCTTGGGAGGTCTGGACACCTAACGTTCTCTGGTCCACTAGGTATCTATTAATTTCTACATGTGCGAACTTCCTAGTTCCTCTGAGTTCTAATTTCATTCCACTGCGGTTAGAGAACATACTCTGTATGATTCCAATCATTTTTCTACCCTGCAGAACATCCCAGGTACGCTGGGGAAGAACACGCAGCCTGCTGCTGCTGGGTGGGGAGTTCTGCCGTGCCTGTGAGGTCTAGTGGGTTTCTAGTGCTGTTCATTCCTCTGCTGCCAACCTGCCCAGATGTTCTCCTGACTACTGAAGGTAACTACCGAAGTCTCCAACCGTTACAGTGGGATCAACTATTTCTCCCTTCAGTTTTGTCAGTTTTTGCTTTGCGTATTTAGGTGCTCTTTTCATGACACCCCACACTTCTCAGGGATCCAAGACTCAGGAGCTGAGGCCTTTGGGGCTCCTGCCCAACCTCTCTTGCTCTAGAGGTGACTCTCAGAGCAGCCCAGGGAACACAAAGTGCTCTGGATTCATCCTTCCTTCGCCCACCACACCCAAGCTGCCAGCAGGTCTGGTCAGCTCTAGGCCCTGAGAAGCATCTGGAACTGAACTAACTCTCTGACCCGCCCCTCCTGCCTGGCTCCTTCCTGCCTGCTCCCCCCAGCCCACACAGTAGCCCTGGACGCTGGGGCCTGACTGCTGAGAGCCCTTGGTGGCTTCCCGCACAGGGGCCCTTTCGTCGCCATGATCCAGCCGTGCTGGCCCCTTCTTGTTTCCCAAACGTGTCGACTCTGTCCCTGCCTCACTGTGTGCTCCTCCCACAGCTCGGGCACTTTCCCTTGGGATGTGACCACTGCCTCTAGGTAACAGGCGCCCACACCCTATGGCACCCCAGCCCCTCTCGGGGCCTCTCCTACCCTGTGTTGTTCTGTCACAGTTGGAAATGACTGCAGAGGTCTGTCTGGCATGTGTCTCCTGCTACAACACAGCTCATACACCCAACACCCGGGATGCCCTGCCAAAGGCACTCGGTGAGGACTGGCTGCCAAGATGGAGCCCACATCCTTGGCTCTGTCCTTTCGGTGACCCTGAGATGAGAGGGGACCTGGCCAGACAAAATTCAGCTGCTCCTCAACCCCTGACCTCAAGAGACCCTCTATTCCAAGCCCCACATCGCTTCTAAAAACCCCCCTGCAGGACAGCAGCAGGCCTCCTGGTCCTGGAAAGGCTGGGAAGCCAAGGCCTGGGCAGGACATAGGAAGATCCCCATCATGGACCAGATACTGCTGGAACCTTCAGTGGAGCCTGAAACTGCCAGCCCAGAAGCAGTGAGCAAACTGCTGCTAGCAAGCGCCCTCACTGAGAGCCAGTGGAAGGGAGCAGGGAGAGAGAATGCCCCCGAGGACACGCTGGCTCTCCTGGAATCCTCACCAGCTCCCGAGTGAGGTGTTGCCTGCCCCTCCGCCCTGTCGAGGCCTCCCCACCGCCCCCTGCCCTGCAGGGAGGCAGGGCCTCTCCTCTCAGGAGGAAGACAGTCGGAACATGCTGCCTTCCTCAAAGCAGGAAGAGGTCTGGGGTGCAGGAACCCCTTTCAAGCCACATGGCTCCAAACAAGGCCAAGGCCAGCTCTGCAAACATCTCCTATTTCCTTCAGACATGGCAGCCCAGTCGCTGGATCTGGGGTCAAGGCAGTCTGGGGGCCACCCTTGACTCCAACCAAAAGCGTGGGTCCTCGGGGGTCAGGGTAGAACATGCCTGGGACACACCTGGGGTCAGACCCCAGACGTCTGCAGCCCCGAGCTCAAGAGTCACTGTGACGGGGACTTGCACAAGGAAGAGTCTAAAAGCAAGCTCTGAGGACATGTGCCTCCTGGGGAGAAGTGAGGACAGGAGCAGGGTGCAGGGCCCCCATTTCTTCCTCCTCTGCTTTTCCCCAAACTGGACTCCACCACAGCAGGGGTCAGGACTTCAAGATGACATCCAGGGAATGCTGGGTCAGCAGCCATTCGGGATACCAGGATGAAGACATCCCAAGTTAATAAACAAGAAAGCAGGAGAGAAAGAAGACTCAAGATCACCCTTCAACTTCTCTCTCTCACATCAGGGCAGCACGAATGAACAAAGCAGCCTCAGAGAAGAGGAAGAAGCTGTCCCGGGTGCCCGGCCGAGGGCTGGTGAGGCCCAAACAATCGCAGCAGCCCCTCGCCATGGGCTGTGGGCTGGGTGGAGGCAGGAGCCCCAGCCAGCTTTCCTCCCACAACTCCAGGGCTGCGGGGGAAGCAGCTCAACGCCGTGAAGCACGGGAGTACTTGTCGCCAAGAACGGAGGGTCACACCCAACCCTGTATGGGAATGTAGAGGTGGGAGGCATCTATTCTTCGTATAAAGGACGGAATTGCCCCACCCCCAAACCATGGCTCTCCCGAGGCTGCCTGGCATGGCCTCGAGGAGGACAGAGCTGCCAGGCTGGCCCCGGGAAGGGGATGGAACTGGCTGGAGCCGCATTTCACAGACACGAGGACAAACAGGAAGCAGGCACTGGAACAGCACTGGAAGAGACCAGAATGTGAGGCCACGTTTTCCTTCTAGAAAACAATGGCAACCATTTGGCCTGACAGAGCCTCAGTGAACCCGTCTGGACCGACAAGTTAGAAAGTAAACTTGGGCAGAGTCAATGCCGTTTATTCTGTGACTGGGGCAACCAGTGCAGATTCTTGTCAAAAAGGCAGACACTGAAAAAAGGAAAAGAGAAGCAGCCCCCGAGGTCTGAAAGTTGAGGACCCGTGAGGGTCAGATCCTGCACAGGAGTTGAGCGATGCGGGGAAGCTGTCTAGCCAGATGGGCTCATTCCAGAATCTTCTTCAGCTTCCCGGTAGGTCTAATAAACAGACCTGGAGCTCAGCAGTGCCTTGGCACAGAGCTTCAGTCCAGCACAATCCCAGCGGCTCAGAGTGAGCACTGAGAGCTGCCTGCCTTCTCTGGATCACAGGGAGAACTCAATCTGGATGTGGTTTGGTCTTCCTCAAACTGTCTTCTGAGAGCCAGGAAGTCTGATATATGAAGACTTTTCCTGGTACCGAGTTGGCCGCGGCCAGAGCTCTGATGAGACTGAAAGATGATACGGCCCCTTTATAGGCAACAATTCAGCGAGTCACTATTTATCATAAACAACTCTCGGCTGTACATTCCCCCTGGGGACCGTGGAGTAAAGAAAATGGACTAGACGTGACAGATGAGACCCGCTGGGTAACCCGTGGGTGGTTTCCTGAACCCCAATGTGACATGGGGCAAGATCCAAATTTGTCCTGATGCATAAGAAAATAGCCTGAGTTACCAAAGAAAAATCTCAGCCCAGGAAGAAGCTGGGATTGGGCTCCATCTGACCTGATTTATGGCCTAACTGACCTCAAATAAAGTTTCCTCTGCTCTGAGCTTGCCCAGTCAGTAGAGAAAGCCAGGGTTTCTCTGCAGAGAGCCCCAAGGGAGTGGAGCCTTGGCTGGCTCAGAGCCGTCACCAAGCAGTTTGATGGTGGTGCTCCTGGGACTTCTCAGATGAATGCTCAAACCAAAGAGTGCACAGTGTGTCACATGCACGGCGTTCAGTGCTATGCTGGCACATTGACAAACCGCCCCGTGAGTCCCCCAAACCTGGCCCTCTCCTGTGGGGACTTAACAGCTCCTCTTGAGGCGCTCTGCCCTTGTACGTCACCTTTCATCTGCCAACGTGGGGAATGCTTGACTGTCTCAGGAGTAGAGCCTCTGACCCAAAGTCCCTAAGAATCAGGATGCTGAGTTCTGTGGACACAGGCCACCACCCAGGCTGGCTGAGCTGCACAGCATGGACTGGCCATGGGCGGAAGGTGAGGCTCCCTCGGGACACTTCCTGCACGGGCCTCTAAGAGAAGCCCGTGTGCTCTTGAAGAGCAGTTACTGTCACAAAAGCTCTGTGGTCTACCTGCCCTGTTTGCTACTGTCGTTCTGAAACCCGCCACCTCTTCGGCGGATCCAGACGAAGATCACCTGTTCTTAGAGGGCTGATGACAGAGAACTGAGAACATCCTTTCCTGGGCCCTCAAACGCCAAAGGCCCCATAACTCACAACAACCGACTCCAGAGACGGTTCCACGAGCTCCTCTCCCGAGGAAAAAAACAAAAACAAAACACGGACCACCTCCTAATTCTCGCTCTGGCGGCTCTCACGCACTCTCGTGTGAGGGATGCGCTCCCAGCGCGCTGTGCTGCAAGTGCCTGCTGGCTGGAGTCCTCCTCCTGGCTTCTGAGCGTGTCTCGCTGCCCTAAACCTCCCTCTGTGCCATGAAGGATGGTCCCTTTCCCCTAGAGACTCTGGCATGTGGTAAAGGCTGCTTCCTCTTTTCCCACGATGCTTCTGGAACGTAGGACTCCAACCTACCTCTGGCTGAACACCATTTTCTGAGAGTCCTAGGGTTTGGTGGCCGCAAGTGAATTTTATTTAATGGTTTTCTTAAACAAGCAGGGGACTGGTGTGTGGCAGAGGGAATCGCTGAGGTCTGGGACTGTGCCACCCTGGAAGGCTGCCTAGGTGTTCAGGGTGGTAGAGCAGGGCCCTCTGTTTTCTTGTTAACAGTCCTTTCTCCCTGTCATGAGAATAGGGGTCGTCTGGCATTAGATACCTTGAGGATGGAGTTTTCAATCCTGAATGTAGGATGATGTTTACCTTTCCCAATTTATCAAACTTCAAAAACCCAAGACATTTCTTGTTCTTGAGAGTTCACAATCTTCTCCACCTATAATCTTCAAAAGCCTTCTTATTACAAAGAAAAGGGCTCAAGGGATTCCCTCTGGATTCAAAGGAAGAGTCTTTTCTTCTTCCTGCTTTGATTGAAGACAAGCAGTTCACCGCCTAACCACAGTCCAAACACAATCAGTCTGGCAAAGCAATCTGTGTTAGACCACGCCTCTTCCTACACAGCAAAGGAAGCCTTAGCTTCTTGGGTTTCTGAGACACTGAACTCGAATGCCCAAGTTCAGGGAAAGGAGAAAGAAAAATGGCAGGAGGGAGAAGGGTCGAGTTTGGTTTGGAAGGTGCTACCCCACCACTCAGTTCCTCTTCTGATCCCGCATGTCTCTCAGGAAATGGGACTCGCCTCTTGCGATGGGTCCATGTTCCCCCTACATGGAAAAGGGGACTCGACCTTTCCTGACTTTTCAGTAGCACAGATCAAAGGGAGTTGAAGGAATCCTTGTCCTGTTATGTTACCGTCAGCTGCTTACAAGTATCTAGGGCCTGGATCCAGGGACCCGAGGGAAGGGGCGGTGGGGTCTGGGCCCCTGGGCAGTAGGAGTGCCGGGTGGATGTGGACTTACCCCTGCCAGTTCTCGCGGAAAAGGAGGAAGCTGGGCTTCAGGAGCGGGAGGCGGAGGAGTGCTGGCGGAAGTGCTAGCGGGGGCAGGAGGTTCTAGGGCATGCTCACCAGCTGACTCGGGGTGACCCGTGCCATGGTGGGGGGCCTCAGCCTCCCCCCGAGGCTCCTCTCCCGAATCCGACAAGTCTTTTTGCTCTGCAGAGGACTGGGAGCAAAAAAGACAGTTTTCCTTCAATGTGGATAAAGGCTGCACCACAGGACAGGGGAGGGCAGGGCTGGGTCACAGGGCTGAGGGGACTCGACCTCCAGGGAAACGGCGAGAGCCACCTGGGTGGATTGGCCAAAAAAGCAGGCACATGCTGTTGTGGTTTTTTTTTTTTTTTTTTTTGAGACAGTCTCACTTTTTTGCCCTGGGTGGGGTGCCGTGGCGTTAGCCTAGCTCACAGCAACCTCAAACTCCTGGGCTCAAGCGATCCTCCTGCCTCAGCCTCCCAAGTAGCTGGGACTACAGGCATGCGCCACCATGCCTGGCTAATTTTTTCTATATATTTTTAGCTGTCCAATTAATTTCTTTCTATTTTTGGTAGAGACGGGGTCTCGCTCTTGCTCAGGCTGGTCTCAAACTCTTGAGCTCAAACGATCCGCCCGCCTCGGCCTCCCAGAGTGCTAGGATTACAGGCGTGAGCCACCGCGCCCGGCCTATGCTGTTGTGTTTTGCTCAACAAAACCGGCCCTCCTGGCTGAGGGGAGGGAAAAATGAAAGTGGGTTTGGTGCTGCCTGACTCTGCGAGATCCTTGTTTTCAAAACCATGGGTGGGTCTGCCACGCAGCTACTCTGCTTATGGGCCTCCTGGAGGAAAAGCCCTCTTGGTGGCCAAGGAACAGGGACGATTATGCAAAGATTCTTAAAATCCCTAAGGGCCAATAACACATCTCCTCAAAAATACTGAGCAGGGGCGCTGGCCCCCCGCACTGCTGTGCTGGAGGAAGGGGCGGGGGGAGACAGGCCTGGAAGAGCACCCAGTTAAGGGGAAGCAGGGAGACCAGGGTCAAAGGCGTCTGCATCTCGCTAGTTCTCCCTGCATCTTTCAGTTTGTTTTGCTTGCACTTGAGATGGAGAAAGTGCTTTCCCGCCTCAGCGAGTGCAGGTGTGGGGTGACAGAGACCCTGAGAGCTGGTGTGTGGATCAGTGAGCAGCAGTTCAGCTGGAGGGGGCCGGGCACATCAACAGAGAGCTGGGACTGGGATTCTCCCAGGTGTACCCTAAACACCTGGGCAAGGGGTTGTTTGGTAAACAGCCACGGTGACAGCAAGCTGGTTCTGGAAGTCTTCCTCCCCAAGTACAACACCCTGACATCCTTTAAGGTGGTTCCTGGGGTTCCCGGGGGCTTCCATGGGCTGAGAGCTCTGTGGCCACACCTCCAAGGCTCTTTTCTTGAGAAACAGGTTAGGCACCTGGCATCCTAAAACAGATGGGCTCCAGGCCCCAAACCTTCCACATGGCCTTATCCAACGACACAGAGCTGTTTTCCTCCGTGGTGACCTAAATGATCACAGGGCTACCCTGTCTCCCTGTGGCTGCAGGTGCATTTCTTCTGAGTGTGAAGTGATTGACCTCTTTGGACAGGGCTGGGGCACTACTTTTTAACATGTGATCTAGAAACTACATGAAAAGGATTTAAGAGATCTTTCAACAATTCTTGGGAAAGCAAAGAGCAACACAATGTTAGCTCAGCCTCCTGTCTCAAGAGTCACCAAAGGGGACACTGTCACCTCTTTCTATCCAGGAGAGATCCACCGACAGAAATGCCTTCCCAAACCTGCACAGGCCACCGACATCTGCTGTTACTTTACAGCTAGAGATTTAACACCTCAAACGAGAAAAATTAAACCCAGAGCTCTGTGGGAGACTGCCTATCTTTAATTAGAACCACTGGAATTTTTTTAAACCCCTGCTCTTGGAATGTAAATGTTCAAGTGCCCTTATGGTGACTCAAAATGCTAAACAGGAGAACCAAAAAGAAATTTATCAAAATGAAGACCAAGGGATCAGAACAGGGTCCGATTCTTCATCTTCAGTTGAATGAATGACTCTTACAAGGTTTGGGAAGTGTCCATCATTTCTTCTCTTGGATCTAGAGGACATTTCTTAGGAGAATTAACAAATGTCATTGCAGCATTTTCTACTTGGGCCTAGCGTTTCTACTGGGCAAGAAAAGAGAAGTAAGCTCTCAAGAACCAAGATAAGGCCTGCAGTTTTTCAATATGTTTGGTAAAATCAGACATCGAGACTTTGCCGGACTTTGACATCATCCTAAAGTACACGTGGCTGAGAACAACCATGTGCACAAGTTTGTCTCACCAACAGAAAGCTTGGAGATTAGGCCTAAATCCAGTGTTTTCAGTAACACTGTACTTTCTGCTAGCTGGCATTTCTGTAACTGCCTTCTGTCTTCTTACCAAACGGGCACCATCCTGCCAGTGTAACCCTGACGCCTCCTGCTTCGGGTTAACAAACGCTCCCAAGAGAGAAAGAAACATTTAGTCATTACAAATAAGAAACAACCCCCATGAGGACATTTAAATTCCTCCACATTGAAAAGAAAAAGAAAGAACTCTGTCTTCACTCAAGGCAGTTAAGAAAAAAGAGGTTTCATTTTTGCTCCCCAAACACAAATGCATGTCAGCGCAAGCATGTCACGGACAGAGCCAGCCCCAGGAAGCTCAGACACAGGGAAGGAAGTGACTAAAGTCCCTGTGCTGTCAATCTGGCCATGAATTCATCTCAGGGGCTAGGACTGGAGTGCAAACGTCCTAACTGTCCTGGCCTTTTGTAACACGGAACGATAGGAGGATGTGGCAACCTGCCCAAGGCTAAGCGATGCCACTGGCAGTCCACACGCAGGCCACCGCCACCAATCTCAGTCTGTTGCAAATGCAATTTGGCACGTCAATGGCATCCACAGAAAACGCTGCGCGGCTTTGGCACTGAACAAAAACAAAAAACTCCAGGCTAGCAGCTTAATTTCTTTCTTTTCAATCCCAAATCTCCTTTATCTCAATCATGATTCAGCAATAAAACCTGGGCACATGGAGCTCTCTCCTTTAAATGGGGGGGGGGAATGGGATCTTTCATGCCAACTCTCTAGGTGGTTTGAGATCGTTACTGAAAGACAAGTCAGCCAGTCCCACAGTTAGTAACGGGACATTTCTGGGACAATCAGGACAATTCGCAATATGGACTATATGTGGAGGATACTGCTGAATTAATGGTCATTTTCTTAGGAGTGACCTGGTATTGAGACCATGGAGGAGAATGATGCTGTTTCTAGAAGCCTGCAGAAGTGTTCAGGGGAGAACGTCATAGGGGTGAAACCTACAGCGAGTGCGTCAGTACTGCGGACAGGAACGTTAACAGTGAAGTGGGCTGAAGGAGAACCAAGCGTTCGCAGTGTCATCCTTTTCCAAGTATTTGAAAATTTCCAAAATAAAATTTGAAAATTTCCAAATAGAAAAGTTGAAGCAAAAAGGGGGGAGAAAAATCTGTTCCGAAAACCAAAGCAAGCAGCCCCGGCAGCTCTATCCGCTCTTTCCCAACTTGCCTTCTGAACGGTGAGAAGGGGATGGCTGACTAACTCTGTGAGAGGCCCAAACCCGGATGGCTCTCGAATTCTCATTTTCGACCGGAAAACTGTGGCTGCTTTCTGCAGGTCTGGGGAAGCCAGGGAGAAACGCAGCTAGACGCCCGCCCTGTGTTTACTTTTCACCCTACTCACAGGCAGCAGAGAAGGAAAGATCCCACGTCCATGTGGACGCTGTCCGCCGACAGCTGAGAAAGCGGCCCCCACAAGGGCTCCTCCTGGGCCTGTCCTCAACGCAGAGAGGTTTTCCAAATGCCCTTGTGGGGATCGTGCCTCAGAAGTGGGGAGCTGAACTCTGAAGAGCTGGAGAGCAGATATTTTTAGAAGCCCATTTAGCATTGGCTCTGAGTCAATATTTTGACAGGGACTATACTTGCGCATTTTAAAAATGACACAGAAGCCTCCCTAGCCTTCCAGTTCAGGTTCAACGCCAGCATAGACCCCTTGAAGGCCATACATGTAAATGAGCCCTCAAATCACAAAGTGACAGAACCACCACAGCTTCAAGAACAGGACTGAAACAGGAGCACTTTAAAATCATCTGAGCAAATATTACATTTTAGTGTTTCGTCTGGATGGCTGTCATAGGCCTTTGGGTTTAACACATTAACTGCCACGTGAGTTGTATTTAACTCATGCTAGTTTTGAGCCCGGGGCCTGCAGTTAGTTTGTGAAAATCTTACTTGTTGATGTTTTCTTACTGTTACAATTAAGATGGACAATTTAGCTGTATATAACTCATGCACAGAAAGCAATAAAAAATAACAAATTTTTCATTAAATTAGAAAGGACTGTTTTGGTTTCAAAGTTTTTATTCTATTTTTGTAATAAAACACTGTGGCCCCAAGGAAAAAAAAATTTTTTTTCTAGTGTGGCGGTCAATGTGTTAAATAATTCCTATTACTGTTTTAAATCAAGGGTTGGCAAACTTTTTTTTCTGCAAAGGGTCAAATACTAAGTATCTTCAACTCTGCAGGCCGGTCTCCGTCCGAACTGCTGTAGCAGCCAGAGACTACTGTGAAGGAGCGGGTGGGCTACGTTCCAGAGAACTTTGTTTCTGGAACAGGCCTGTAGTCCCAGCTACCGGGCAGGCTGAGGTGGGAGGAGCCCTTGCACCCCTGAGTTCTGAGGCCAGCCTGGGCAAGAGACCTAAAAGAGAACAGTTTTAGGCAGTGGGCCTTAGTTTGCAGAGCCCTATTTTAAACTAAAAGTGGTTCAAAAGATGATCATAATACATTTCAAAATTCTAGAAAATCCTGATTTTACCAAATACCTGAGAGAAATGACCTAATATCTCAAACAGAGCTCTAAGACATCCAACTCCTAAGACTTTACTATTGTATCCCTAAAACCTAGAGGAAAGGCATTAGTCCCTTCATACTGATTGAAGGACTTTCAAAGGACAGATAATAAAAACTCGTGTGACTGAGCTGTAGTGGTCAGGGCCCACGGCAGAGAGAGCAGAGGTAGATGTACCTGGAAAACACCACCTAGATAACCAGAACAATATTGGAAATCAGTTTTCACAGGTTTCCTGATTCTTACAAAAGAATTAACAATGAGAAAGTTTAAGGTGACAATGAGACAACAGTTGGAGTGACAAGCCTAGCAGATAAGCCCAGAGGCACCCTGTGCAGGGGTGGGGGGTTAGGGGCAGCCATTCCCTCCCTTACCCCCTACACACACACACACTCTCCCCCTTCCCTTCTGGGCACTTGAACGCTGCCTAGGAAAACCGAGACACACAAAGAGAAGTTCTGGCTTCAATTCTCAGACCACGGGACAGGATTTAAGACAGTAGCCAGGAGTCCCAAATTGCCGCAACAGCAGCCCCCAACCTGGGAGCCAGTCACCTGCAAGAGACAGAATCCACAGGAGCACCAAGTCGATGAGATTCTCAAATGCCGTTATTATCAACCAGACACAAAAATACCTCAAAATGTACTGAATTCAGTTTAGTGCAGCACTCTGTAACTATAAAAGGTTGCAACGAATATTAAATTACAACTACCGCCGCGGGGCCTCAGTGGGAAGGGACTGTACAATTTTTAGACAAATAGAGGAAGTCCTCATACAAGCTGGGGAAATGGCCACAGGGCACCAACTAACTTGTGACACAACTCTGACCTTCCACACTCATCTGTCAGGGAGGGACGCAAACCGATGGCTCCAAGGTAAGCAACCTCTATGGCTGTCTCATCACAGAACCCTACCTACTGCCACACCAGTCAGACCTTTGACAGACTACTATCAACCAGGCAAGGTGTTTCCAACAATGGTGCAATTGAAACACCCCAAATCCCAGGGGTGGGAAGCAACCTCCTGACAATGGATGATAAACACACAAAGCAAGCAAACTAGCAATAATTCTAAATGCATTCATGCCAAGTTAGTTAGGGCCCAAAAAAATGCCCCTATATATTTAAAGGTCCTGTTTACCCCTTAACTACCATTCCTCTTTCCATCCTCTCTTCCCCACTTCCCTCCTCCCCTCCCCACCTACTTCCCCCTTCTCTGTTCTTCTGCTGCTGGCTTTCCTAGTGGACAGCTGCATCTCCAAAGCAAATCATTAAGAATTTGGGAGAAGCCCGCTACCACTGTTTGAACAATCTGAACAAGCCGCACACTCTCTCCACCCTTTCTGCAACAGATCCAGCTTAACCTGTCTCCATGGTAACCTAAAGCCACTGGGCCTCTCCCCTCCAAGCTCAGTGTGAAGTCTTAACGCCCCCACTTAGGTGTCCCCACCTGTGGGCAGACGCAGCCATGGCGATGTGACCTGAATGAGGACTCCGTGGGAGAGAAGAAATCAGAGCAATGACGTGAAGAGAGAATGTACCAGCCCCTTACCTTTTGTCCTTTATCCTTCTGAAACACAAAGACGGGAGGAGCAATGGCAGGCTTTTCTGCAAAAAGAAAAATTGGTTTTTTTCCCCCCAACACTATATTCATACAGTAAACAAAGCTACATTGGTTTGTAATAAGTTAAATATATATATATATATAAAGCTAGCAACTCCAAAGAACATCATATCCCTTAGAGCAGCTTCTTGACACGAACGCGTGGACGTGTGGGTGTGTTCGGTCTGTGAAACTGCAATGCTCGATGGCATGGCAATGCCCTTTTCTGTATGCACATTATTTACTCAATAAAGAGCTTTCGAGACTCGCCGAGAGCAGGCTTGTACACCAGAGTGGGAGTGTGGTGGGGAGTGTGCCAGGCACTATGTGGTGCCAACAACTGCGGCCCTGCGGGAATGTGGCGTACAGATGCCAGATTTTTATGTGGAACCTCCTAAATTTCCAATGCAGGAGACTAATTTAGTTTTTATTTTTTTAATTTGCAGGCCCAAGAACGACCGGTCTGTACCAGCTGGGCACGCTACGTGTGCTCTTTGGAGAGCCAGCCCAGGCCATGCAGGCCGAGCATTCAACCTGATCTCCAGTGAGCACTGTTAAGCAGCGAGAAGTCACGGAGTTGCTGCCAGTCTGAGAGTCCATCTTGAACAGCTGCTGTTGAAAGAAGAAACACTTTGGGATGCTCTGTCACTTGATGGGACAAGAGCAATGCAGCCTGTAGTTCCCGTGAAACACCATTTGTCTCCTACCCAGGGGCAGCCAAATCTACAGCCCTTTGCACTTGCCCTGGCGTGAGTGGCAGCCAGCTAGGAAGACCCATTGGCTGCAGATGAGGGGACATGCAGATGAGGACTGCCTTGACCCCACAGGGGAGGCCAAGACAACACCTGCCTCACGGCCTCAGGCCTGGGTGCTCCTGGGGCCTCCTTCCCCATTCAAGCAAGAGGAGCTCGAATCCGGGGGCGCCTGCTGCGTGCCGTGCACTGGGGCCTCTGTGGCGAGCGGGACTCGGGCACGGCCCTGCTCTCATGGGGCCCCCGGTCACGCCCTGGCACAGCATTACCATGAGGGCATCCGTCTGGGCTCTGGCCTGGCTGGTCTGCTCCAGTGTGTGGGCAAGGTCCCGGGGAAGAGGGGGCTGTGCTAGGGTCTCAGCGGGGAGAGACGGAAGGGAGAGGGCAGGGGGTGGCCACACTGAGGATCTGGAAGAATGCTGTAGAAGGTGCTGGGAAGCAGGTGTCTGTTCAGGCTGAAAAAGAGAACAGTTTGGGGAAGGGGGAGAGAGGATGGATGTGGGGAGACGGGGTGGGCGGCAATTGAAAGTGGAAAGGGATGGCACCAGGATGACCAAACCAACACCATCCCACTCCTGCAGAAGTAGGACAGACACTGTCTTGAGCTTGGGGCAACAGTCCGCAGGCAGGCAGCCCACGGATGCTGACAATCCCTCTACCCTGCTCCCTGAAGCCTTGCTGCACCTGGGTCCAATTCACCGCACACAGCAGCGGCAAATACAGGGTGAATAACACTGACATACACAAGATCCAAGGCCTGCAAAAGAGCAGGTGGGGGCAAAGGGGTCTCCAACCAGCCTTCCAGGCCTCCGTACGCAGCCATCTCCCTGGCACAGCATGTAGCTGCTACTCGACAAGCTCGAATGAACGTGCCTATGCTGGACAATAAATGATGCCAAAGGAACACTGCAGGGACTCTGGGGACAGAGCAGCAGCTTGTCCACACCATGTCTGCCGGGGGATCCTAGAGGCCTTGTGGCGCTGCCCCTGTACCCTACAAACCAGGTCCCAGCCCCCCTTCTGCGTTCGACTCCCCACCGGCTGCAAGGTGCCGAGATGCACAGGAAGCTGCTAGGGTTTTGGCCATCGCGGCACTGCCCAGCCCCGTCTTCTTTAGGGAACCACCCCTGCAACACCCCCACGGGGTTCAGAGGGAGCCAGTCTCAGCCCTGGCTCCAGCCCGATGAGGAGAGTATTGTAGGCCTGGCCCCAGGGGACACAGCAGCATGTGATGGAGGCCTTTTGTTGGAGCCCTGGGGAAGGGGCGCTCTCTTCCTGCTGGGGCTGCTGAGCTGGTGGGAGATGACCCTGGGGCTGCCAGCAGCCACGTGTCACAAGCGGCCCTGGACCAGAGCCAACCCAGAGGGAAGCAGAGCCAGAGACGGAAGAGCAAATTCTGGTGACGCTGGTGGAGGCCCTCAGTCAAGCTTGGCCCAAAGCTAGCCTGCACCCAGACTTGTCACTGAAGCCAGCAATGCCAGTTTGAGCTACGTTTCTGCCCCTTGTCACAAACAGACTCCAGCCGGAGAGAGGCACGGTGTGGCCACTGCAGACTTAATTGAACACACGCTGTCCTCGGCACTGTGGAGAAGAAACCCTGGACTAGCCTCAGAGTGAAGCTAACACGCTTGCTTTTCTTCCCAGCAACATCGCCACCTGTCCGCTGCGTATTTACGGTTTATAGTCTGTCTCCCCTGCCGAGTTACAGACTCCCTGAGTCAGAGACTCTGTTCTGCCCTCCTTGGCATCCCGTGGCCCAAGAACAGTACTTGGCATCTTGGCGTGCTGCAGGGACTCGACAAATACCTGACGAAGGGACGAACGCAAGGCAAGGGCACAGTGCCAGGTTAGCGAGGAGGGGCTGGAACGGAGAGAGGGTCATTGGGGTGGGAGCAGAAGAGCTTTCTGCTGGAGAACCGTGTTGGCTAATCCTCACGTTGCCCAGAAGTGACCTTGGCCATGTGGGCAACTCCGGGAAGCCTGGGCCACCTGTCATGTGAAGGCCCAGAGCTTTCGGGACACACGGCGGGGTCCAGGGCACAGGCCAGGAGAGGGCCCCTCTGATGAAGGAACATCTCTGTACTGCACCTGGGCTCGCTGCTCAGCCAGAAACAGAGGGAGGCTGCGGAAGGGGACACAGGGGTTGAGCTCTGAAAGCAGAACCCAGAGAACAGGAAAGCTGGGGTGACGTCCAATCAGACCCTCCCTAATACCTCCCGTCTCCTGCTCCCCACCCTGACACCGCTCAGACCTTCTTTCTTGGCCTCTACTCTCAGCCTCTTAAATCTGGCCTCCACAGAGCAGCCAGAATCACGGGTGTGAAACGCACACTCTAAACTGCAATGTCCTTCCACAGATGAGGGCCCGAGCTCCTCTGGACGGGTCACGCCCTGGCCACTCTCGCTCCGCCTTCCACCTGACCACAGTGGTGAAGAGCCTGTTGTCCCCTGCATGCCCCATGTTTATGACGCACTCCTGGACTCCTGCTTGGTTTAGTCTCTCTGCCTAGAACACACGCTCACCTTCTTCTGCGTGGCCAGCACTTGCCCCTGCGCAGACCTCACCTCCTGCAGGAAGCTCCCAGCCTGCCCTGCACACCTGCCCTGACCACCCCCCACCCCCCAGGCTGCCTGCTAGGGAGGCCGAGACCACAGCCACAGCCACAGCATCCAAACAGCTCCGCCCCCAGCAGGTTACACGGCGCATGCTGTGTAGACACCATCCAATCAGTGTTTGAATTAAACTCCTTCTCTACTTGTTCACACACAGAACACCAGCTGCTGTGCATGCACATAAATGTTCACTAAGCCTGTTCTGTGCTGGGCACCATGGGAAAAGCAGAGACCAGGAGGCTGAGGGCAGAAGACCTACTGGGAAAACATGCGACGGGGGTTGCACGTGGCAGCCTGGCACTGCGGAGCCCTGGCGCTCCTACAGGGGTTTATTGGTCCACTGACGGCACCTAGGACTGGAGCTCTACAGGAGTGGGGCCTGTCTTCTGTGTCTTCCATGCCAAACACAACTTCACACGTAACCGGCACTCAGCCGGCAGTCACGGAAGGAATGAAATGCAGCACGCCACAAAGACTAGGCCCTGGTGAGGCACAGTCAGGGCTCCCCAGAGGAACAGGACCAACAGGATACAGCAGCGGGAGACGACTGCGGCAGGACCCCTGCTGGCGGCAGGCTTGGTGTTCGACTAACCCAGCCACTGCACTAGGAAAGCACAGAAATGAACTTTCGTCACCTCTCCGCCCCAAACACAAAGCATCACAGGTACACACTCTGCATTCTGCTCAGCTCTGGGAGGCCCTAACGCCTGTCAACTGCAAACTGGTACCGATGCCCCATTGCACAAAGGATGGCCCCATACGGGCAGCCGTGGACACAGACTGTTTCTGCAACCACCCTTCATCACCAGGCTGCTGTTGGTTACGTCAGCGCGTAAGCCGCTACGTGAAACCCAAGTGTGGGGAGCGCACAGGGACCAGAAGCAGCGAGGCTTCTATGACCTGCTTTAATTCTCAGCCCAGCTTCTCTTCCGCAGGTCAGGGGAAAACCACCACTGGAGATTTCTAGAGACGCAGACCACCATGAAGACCCAAAATATTGAAATACTGATCAAATGCAGACTATTCGATCCAGATTCTGTCACACAAGTGGTTTTTTGTAAAACGGTCCAGTAAAATGCTCCCTGATCAACTTAGTATGTACAAAAGCAGTCTGCCTGGAGACTGGCTAGACACAGCAGCACTGTGAGAGTTCAGGAGACCAACAGAAAAGACCTGTTTGACCAAATGTTTCCGATATTCTCTGACCAGGGAAGCCACCTTTCCAGGAACCCTGTGACAGGGCCTAAGAACGACGTTTCACGGACGACTGTGGCCAACACTGGTGTGTGACGTGGGTGGGATTCAGAGCCTCTCCTGCTTGGCCCCACAGGTCACCTCAAACAACGACCCTGTCTGTGGGTGGTGCGGGCTCCACTGACTGGGTCGCGTGCGGTGCTTCCTCTCTGGCCTCATCTGGGCTCTCCAGGGCACTGCATGCCAAGTCCATGTGGCTATGGTCTCATTGAACACCGCAACCAGCAGCCTCCTCCTGTGCCCTCCCCAGCTCCTGTGCGCAGATGGCACCCAGCTTGAGTGCAATGCGGATCCATGCGACGATCACAGACCTAGGCCAGGGAGAGCCCCCTGTCTGCTCCAAGCCCCCAGGAGAACAGCAAGGGGGGTGAGCTGGCTGGCATCTCG